CCTGGGAAACTGCCACACCTCATAATATATGACAACTGGAGCTTCAGAGTGAAAAGATTAGGAAATATCTCAAGCACTGTACACAGAGTCCACTCAGTCCAATCAATCAAGCTTTGAAAAAGCTAGTCAAAGAATGTCAAATGACTATGCATAGTGCTGTTATTTTGACAAGAGAAAACAAAGAGCTGAAGGATGTAAATGCGAAGCAAAAAAGAAAGTGAGAAAGATGTCATATATACATAAGCCAGAGAGAGGGCTTAACTGTTCAAAAAAAGGTAGATTATGTACAAAGAGACATTGCAGAAAAAAGAGAGGTAATAGAGCAGTCTGATAAGTAATCACAAAAGCAAGCAGCATCACAGTGCAGTGGATGTGGTATTATAGAACATACTATTCATACATGCTCCCAGTGTACAGAGAATAATTTATAATGTAATTAGCTGATTTTACTATCTAGTTATGATGATATTCAATTAGAAAGATATTAGATAGTGAAAATCTGTATCAGTAGATGATCTGTCTCACTAGATGATTGATTACATTACAGTTATTAAAGTTATGTAATAATATCTAAAGAATTACTTAATTAATTATTTTTATAGTTAATAGTTAACTAGTTACTTATATATAATTAGATAATTATGATGAAATGATGAATTCATGATAACTAAAGTTTAATATATTTATAAGTTGTAGGTTTTTTTTTTTAAAAAAAATACTCATATTAAAGAAAACTATAACTATTTAAAACCTGATCAAAAGATAAAAGGTACCTAATTCTAAAACTTGATACATGATATCTAGCTTAGAGATGGTGGCAATTTGTGTATGAGGTAGACGCATAGCTAGTTTAACTGATGGTATCAAAGGCACCAATCAGATGTAGGCCAGTAAACATGCCCATATTTAAAGTTATCTCATCCGATGTGAGGTACCCACTATTGGGACTTGGGCTCACCAAGGTTTTGAACTCACGTTTTCTAGTTCCAACGGCCTGGTGCCACCTAGCACCCTTTCTCTGAGATATCGAGTAATTAAGATGTAAGAGTTTTTGATATTCATGTCAGAAGGTAAATTGAGAATAGAAGCTTGATATATAGACTTCATAGACGTTCATTTGACTGATTTCAAAGATGATATATTAGCCATATCTTCTTTCAACTTCTACTTGTGTTTTTGAGGGTGTTTAGTAGAATCTAATTGAGCTAAGTTAGTGAAACAGCTTACAGATCATATTAATAGACTAGGAATTTTCCTGGAGCTTTCTCAATAGCTTAGAAGCTTCTTTCTTTGTGGCCTCCATGTGGTGGGTGATAACTGGATTCCATGGTTCTTTGATAGGGAATTTGGTAATAGAGAAGGTGAGAACGTGTTTTTGTTTTCATGTGTTGAAGAGTTAGGGTTCAGAGTGGGTATGGGTGAGCCAATAGATGTCTCATACACAATATATGGGATGTTCTTGGTGTGAGTCAATCTAATCCTTGGAAGTATTCCTCACTACTTAAAACTTGTGTTAGAATGGGCAACGTCTCCGGACGAGGGGATAGTTTAGATTTCGGCTAGCTATTTCATAATACACAAACAAGGTCCATGAATTCTTGTCGCAGCTTCTCATCTGTATCATTATTGATGAGAGCAGATGTGTGCGAAAGGTTCAGGGATAACTTGAGATTAACGGAAAACATTCTGTATGTTTAGGAATCATGGTGATATGTGGATAGATATGGTCCTGGGTTGAGAATGAAATTGTCAAGAGATCAGCAACATACGTCCTCTACCACGTCACAACAACAACAATCACGATAGCCAGACAAAAGCACCAGTCCCAGGAGCAGCTATGGAATCTCTCCAGCAAACTCTCCAAACGAACCTCCTCATCCCATTGCAATCATATCTCAAGCCCATCACCTTAAACCTTCCTGAACATTTTTCCGATATCTTTGTCTCTCTTCTTGGCGAACACTGCTATACGACCCTCATCGGCTCGCTTGATGTCACCTCAGACCCAGCCTGTGTGCGTCTAGCCATCTCCAAATTCCTAGGCATAGCCATTGTCTCATTGAGCTCCATTGTCAAAGTTCCGCAGATCTTGAAAATCCTTTCCTCACGCTCCTCAGCGGGTATATCCTTTACCTCCTACGCGCTCGAGACGACAAGTCTGCTGATCATACTCTCATATAATACGCGCCAGAAGTTCCCCTTCAGCACCTATGGCGAGTCTGCACTGGTTGCTGTGCAGGATGTCGTGATTGGCGTTCTGGTGCTCTTGTTTTCTGGTCATCCTGCGGGAGCTGCCGCATTTGTCGTTGCCGTTGCAGGCGTTGTCTATGCGCTGTTGCTTAGTGGTGAAACTATAGTGGATCAGACGACAATGGGGTATTTGCAAGCGGGGACAGGACTGCTGGGGATGTCGAGCAAAGTACCGCAGATTGTGACCGTGTGGAAGCAAGGCGGTACTGGACAGCTAAGCGCAGTTGCGGTGTGTGGATGAATTTTCTCTTCCCCCAACCCACAACCTGTATAATATGCGATTTCTCATTAAGCGTCCAATTGCTGATGATTCCCGCATCTTTAGGTATTCGGTTACCTATTAGGTTCCATTTCGCGCATTTTCACGACGCTCCAGGAGGTCAACGATAAGCTCATCCTTTATAACTTTATGGCTGGGTTTTCCCTTAACCTGACCCTAGCCTTGCAAATGATATACTATTGGAAAAGCCCGGTTAACGCTCCAGCCAAAAAATCGAAAACCAAAAAATTAGAGGATGAAGGAAGTTCAGATACCTGGTGCTAATAGTTCAGGCATCTCCCCGGGTTCTTCTTGAAAGGGCTCAACCACAAGAAACGGGATGGGTTATAACAAGCCTATTGATTAGGAACAGGTTTACCCTTTTCGTCTTCATTATTTATTCTGTGATACTTTCCACTCGGAAGATAGTATCAAAAAACTGTGACCATTTAGTGGCAGTTTAGAATGGTTCGATAATTTCCAGAGACTTAAACATATAAAACAATGAGCTTTATTGTTAGACATTGTGATAAGATAATAAGTCAGAATTATATGGGAAAAGGTGCATAGATTTTGTCAGAACGAACCTCTTATGCAGGACACGTGATCTTATCTCGTTGTATGCCCCATACTATGTGATATACATTACTCTTGGACGTAGACATCCAAAAGCAATATAGGTATCCTCCGGCTTCCCAGAAATAACATTAACGACCCCTTGGGGCCGCTCCCGTCATCATAAACCTGAACACATCTTCCAACGATAGTGCAGTTGACAACTGCGCAGGCGGCCCATGTCCCGCACTCGAAATCTCGAACTGAACCCCACTACCACCCGGCCGTCTCTGCATGCCCACAACCTCCATGCCTGGCCCCTCAAGTCCTTCACACTCCTCTTCACTCCCACTCTCACTCCCGCTCTCCTCCTCACTCAGATTCCTCCGCAACCCAGTCACGACATTCTTAACCCCCATCTCCCTTTCTTCCAGGGTATAATTGCCACCCCAATTCCTCTTTCTCGCCTCCATATTCGCCTCGACAGGCGCCCACTGCCAGAGTTCCGCCAGCTGATGCTCCGTCAACCCCGTCCTGAGCCTCGTGGCATCTGCATTTCCCATGGAAAGTCCCTGGAAGACCCAGTCCTCAACGCGGGGTTCGAGTTTTGTACGTAATAACTGAGAAAGCAAGGATGCTTCGGTGCGGCCGGGAAACTGAGGGGTGGGGTAGGCGACCAGCGATGCAAAAAGGTCGTGGTGGTCTGTAAGTTGTTGGGAGACATTGAGGAGGTTGTTGGATATTATGGTGGCTTGAGATTGGAGGGAGGACCTGTTAAGTGAAAGAGTTTTCCAGTTAGGCTTTGCCTTTTGCTTTTCTATTACTGGATGGTGTATTGCTTACCAGGACGGGAGCGGGTCGCTTTGGTTTATGTTGTTGATGAATGAGGCGAGGGATTGGGTTAGTTGGACGAGGCGTTGGCGGGTTTGTTCGAGTACTTTTAGCTGATCGGGGGATATAGATGCCATGGCGACTAAAAGGTAACTGTTACGTTTCTATTCTTTCTTCTTCGATGGTGTACAGAGTTAGGTGGTGTTGCGTGGAATTGTGCGCAGGAGATCGAGGTGCAAAGAAAGCAAACAAGCGGCTGGTTGTAGTTTAAAATAAGCGCCCCCGGGGGATCGGACCCGCCCAGTGAGTTTCAAGGTTAAGTTATCGCCAGCCCCAACCCATGTGAAGTTTGCCCCTGAGTACACACATACAGAGTATTTCCAGATTAAAGACGAGTACAATTACCATTCTAGCAGCCTGTTAGAGAAGAATCTCATTTCCGATCTGATTTAGTCAGATTAGATCGAATCGAACCCTCTAATAGCTGAAGCGGGCAAGTAAACTGATATCGGTTGAGCTTCATTGACACAGAGTTTGTGTTTAGATTTCTGAAAGCAGACATAATTCATCTCGTTATTACCAAATCATCCATTCATATATACTCCCAGCTCCGTGTTTGTGGTCATAGTGTTCCAGGGTTATGCTCTAGCTGTTCAAACAGTGAGACAGATGCGGCGCTACCGAGTCACCGACTCCTAGAGGCGCAAAAAAAAAAAAAAAAAAGAGTTAAGGAATCGTTCAGCGGGATCCAAGGACAAAGAAAATATACAAAAGGATGGGTATAAACTGGCAACTCATACAAACGGAATATGATTCGTTGGTAAGAAACAAGCAAGAGGGCAACAAACCGGTCCAAAGACAGGATATACTGGAAACAGTAAAAAATGTAGTTAGCCGACTTAGAAGGGTTGCGAGGACACTGAGGGGAAAAATTATCCCGAAAGCCCCAGGCAACAATTGGGAGAAAGAGACTTGCTATCCAATCTGGAATTAGGCAAAACGAGTCGTTCCTCTCACAATATATTGAAAAACGTCACATCAAACAAAGCCAGCATCCGATCGTTTGTTTTTCGAAGAGGGTGGAAAGTTGGGTTCGGACACCCCATCAGCCATTCGTTGATTTCCGTGGCGGAGGGGCCGCAGATAATTTCGGCGAGGATAATTTAGATTTGGGCGACACCGTTGCGAATTGTGGTGTTGTAGATGGGTGCGTATCCATCGCATATGCTTCCACGGGATACTTGATATCTTGGGGGGCTTCATTGGTAGACGCATAGTTTTGATTGCCGTATTCCGCGTACGGCCCCGTAAATTCCGGCTGGTATGGGGAAGGTTCTCCCCAGCTTCTGCGCAACTGACGGTGCACTGGTGACATTATGCTTGTATCGTCCCACCGCTCGTGCAAATAGGTAGGCTGGTTTCTTCTCTTCGCCTTGCGCCGGCGACGGCAGATATAGAATATACATCCGGCGCAAGCACATACCATCAATAAAAGGAATCCAAGAATGGAAAAGACGATGATGAGGACGAGGTTTTTGACTTGGGATTTTGGTTTCGCCGGGCCTTCGACTTTGGGGAATTTGAATTTTGGTGGTAGAAGTTTGGCTTTGAATATTCTATCGGGATCAATAATAAATGGAACATTGTTGGGGAGATTTGCGTGGCAGCCCTGGCGTATTGCTTCAATGACTAGATATTTCTTCTTGTCAGTTCAAGGACCTCAATTTAATTGCATTAGAAGGATGGACACCATACAGTTAGCCAGATATTTCTCACTGTCAGTCAAGTTAAAGCATGAAGCACATTTAGTGATGATGCCGTCGTCGAAAACTTTCATTCCACAGAAATAATGCATGTTTGAGGGCCCTGGGTCAACCAAATTGCTCTTGATGGCAGGCCCAAGGGAGTCACACGCCACCTGGCACGGAGTGGACAAAGCCTGTGTCTTTTCCTCTGGATAACCGAACACACAACTTGAGAAGGCATAGCGAAGGTTATCTAGAAACTGTCAGGAGCAAATCTTGTATACTGACAAGTAGATGTCGCTTGAACATACACAGTCCCCATTTAACATCCGTATCAAACTGTTCAAAAGTTCGTAAACGAGAGTAGGGGCTCTTCAATTCACACTTCACACACTCTTGGAAATTGGAGCCAGGTCGTTCATTGAACTCAAAATCTCGACAAACAATATCATCCGGTGTTGTGTTTCGTGCGGGTTTGAGGCATTTTTCTTCACATGGAGAGCCTTCTGTGACCTGGAGTCCGAATCCTGCACGAGCAAAGAGAATCGATAATGCCAGAGACGAAAATAACATTATGATGATAGGAGTTCAGTCGGTATCGTGCATTTCGAAGGAAAGGAATAATAAATCAAAACTTCTCATCCACCTGTCTCTGCACAGCAGAAACGGCGATAATCCGTCGTCGATGGAGGGAATACAAGAGAGACAGACAACACTGGTTCACCCGTCGACCGCAGTAATGCAGTGTTGGTCGAGGCAAGCAGGAAGAAGTTCAAAGTACTTCGTAATAGTCGGGTTGAGATACCGTGGGCATTTCGGTCGGAGATATATGAAAGCCGTTGCTTCCACGACAGCTGCCGAACCAGCTGTTCAACGTTTGGCAGTGAGCAAAAGAAATACAGGTGGGCAATTAAGCTTTGGCTGGCTCCGACTGGTGGACCTCATGCGGGAAGAGCAAAAAGGGGGTTTACAACAGTTTGTCCAACAAGACACCGCGAAAAAAGACGAATCTGTTTGCGCGCATCACACAAGCACCGCGCTGCTGCAAATTTTTAAACATTGGGATGGAAGAAGTAGTGAGAGCCGAAGAGGCGTCCGAACGGGAAAAACCAATCCATAGAGTGGCATCCAGGAAGCAGAATCTGGTCTGAGCTCTGATTTGAAGGGAACGACTGGAAAATGTTGCCGATCCAGCAACATGCATGATACTGCTTCCAATCAGAGACCTTAATCACCAACTGTGGCTTGCTGCGACCACCTCGGACCGTGATCACAATGCGTTCGAGAGGTCTTATCCATGACAGGGAAATCGGCTGAGAAGATGCTTGAGTGGCCCCTCCTCGCCCAGGCTGGTCATTGGGCAGCCCATCCATAATCAGCAAGCTTTTTATCCCTGGTCCTAGCAGTTGCTTATGATCGGGGTCCTTGTTTAATCGGATTTCCGTCGCGCTCAAAATGGGGATAAATAATTCAAAACCTAACCCCGCTGTTGGAACTCTTCCACATCTTGCATTAAGAAGGACAGGCGGCCGTAGTGTTATGATTGGAAAAGCTGGGTGATGTCAAGCCCAGAAACCTTTATGACAGGGCGAATCATGACGTCCAGCACCGTGAAAGCGGCTTGGAACGTACATCAGACTGACCACACCGTCACGATTCATGAGACGGCAGGCCTCGAAGTGGAAGATTTTCTGACCACTCTGAGGGAAAAATCGCAATATCCATGCGAAAGGTGGGGAGAAGGTTAAGACTAGCAATCGACGTTGACAACCCATTGATGAATCCCATTTGCTGATGCAACTTCTCCTCCCTTCACTCCTCACATCACCGGCTCCAAATCATCACCCCTCAGGCCAGGGTCTTCTCAGTCAACTTGGCGGACTTAAGCGACGGGAACTCCGCTCCTGAAACATTGCACAGTTTTCGTGGGGTTGCAATCCGTCGGAATCTGAAAGGGATAGTAATTGCTCTAGTATTCGGAGGCATCTGTCCAGTCCTCTCTAAAGTTTTCCCCCTGGATTGCAACGACGTGTAATTCTCGTTTCGAATTCCGGCAAACAAGGAACAATCTATGGATGAGCAGCGGCAATCGAGATCTCTTCCAGAACTCATTTTGAAACCCTTCCAACAGTGGCATGCAGGTAGGACGATTATCCTCAGCTTTCAAGTCTGGATTTTCTTGCCAACAGCTTCTCTCTGTTTTCAACTAATTTATTTTTTATTTATTATTATTATTATTTAAATACTATTTGGAATACCCAGAATAAATAGGAGTAATGCCATCAGCAGTGCCATGTTTTCCAACTATTGTGTCTCCTGGTGATAGCTCCTGGCATGCCACATTTTGGTGTAGCATCGGCATTTCAACAACGTTGGGCAGCATCCCTCGTATCCCAAATTTGCCCAGGTTTTATCCGATCTTCATCGCCAAAACTACCACATAACTAACTATTGATGTATCAGGGGAGTCAGCAGAACAAGACAGACCTGGTAATACACAATGAAAGCTCATAAAGAACGCTATGCATGGTGATGGACCCTGGGGGTAAGAAAATTGCTGTAATAATCCAGCTCTTCGATGCGTTTAACTTTTGGTTAACTACGGCTAACTTTTAGCTTTCATCGCACTGAATCTTTAACTATCCCATGACCCTCCAATCACTAGTTCGTTCCCGCTTGTCTTCATCGCGGTGTTTGAACAGCTCCCTCTGGTTGGCGAATAAATCTCCTCAAATCTAAGCTTAAACTCGGCTCTGATCCATCCTCAGGTTGGCGGAGTACTGATAGAAGCCGAAGGAAAAGACATGGAACAAATTGATATTGACACTTGATTGCCCATCGACTGCGTCCCTTGGGTGCTTGGATCATCAGGCGGCAGCTGTCCTCTTAACTGGGGAGCCTGTTTTTCTTCATGTATAGAGTTCGCTCCTTGCAGTCTGGATCGGCAACGCTAGCCAACCACACCATACTTATAATCTAGTGAAAAGGGGCCAGGACAGGTGGCCCTTGTGTCTCAATCGGAATTTTGAGAGCTCCCGACATTGCCGATAGTGTGTCGATGTGGGTTGTACAACACGTAGTTTATTCAGCCTTCGTCAAAATACCCATCCAGGCCGCCACAAAGTTCCCATCGAGAACGGCAGAAGCGGCAGGGAAAAGAATCTGTTTCAAATGGAGTCGATGCATCCTCGACTCCTTGTGACACTTTCTGTCCATCTTGTCCTTTGACTTCCCCCCATCGATGGTCGAGATCAGTTCTCAATTCTTTACGATGACCACACACAATCAGTCACCCAGAGATGCCGACCGTCTTGAAGCGAGCGTTTCCAGCTGTCCTCGATCAGGAGGAGAAGGGCTATCCGCCAATCCTCTCTCAATCTCCTGAAGGGCAGGAGATCGGGAATAGTGGGCATGAAGCGTTGCGGATCCCCTTGCAGTCCCACTCCCTAATACCAGCCAACGACAAGCTTCTCATCTTTCGCGCTCTGACCGGCATCGATGGTGTTCCCGCTCTCATAACACATGGATTTTTCCACCGCCGTTCTGCACCTAACATGGGGATATATGCCCGGGTCCTACGATACGAGCAGAGATCAAGTTTCCGTTACCGAGTCTTCAGCATCCTCATCAATACCTGCTTAGCCGTCCAAATCATCGTTGCTTCCGCTTTGACGGCTATTGGTGCCGCGAGTGCATCTCACAAACTTGTCACTGCATTTGGTGCCATAAATACCATCATGGCGGCAATTTTAACCTATCTCAAGGCGTCCGGTGTCGCTGATCAAGAAAAAGACTTGGAACACGTGTGGCGTGATATTCGAGAACATATGGAACAGCGTGAGCGAGAGTTCTGCCTGCAAGACTGCCAGTTAGATGTGGAAGAGGAGGTTGCTGCCGTGGAACGAATGTACAGAGAAGCTAGGGCGAGAATGGGCAACAGTGTTTCGGATGGCTATCACCAGGGCGGTGGCGAACATGGGTTCAATAAGCCAGGCCTTCTGTCGAAAGTTTCCGTGTCTTTGAAACCGCCTACTCGTGCCCACATACAGGACGAAGTCAACAGCAGCAGGCCAGCTCCGTTGCAAGATATTATGGAGACGGAAGAATTGATCTAGGGAGCTCTTGTCTCGCCCAATGACGATAGCTGGCCGGGTTCAGTCATGTCTTGAATTCTTGTTCAAAACCGCAGAACGATTCTTATTAAGACTGCCGGGTACTCAATGGATCTCCCATCGGAACTCGCGATCCCACCGTGTTTCATTCAAAACCCAAAACCTCCGGAATGAGTTTGAATCCGGCGATCTGTGTTATTGATTTTGCTGTCGGTGATTGCATTGGAATGGCCGAGTCGGGAATAGTAAGAAATAGTTCAAAAAGTCTTGTTTGCCTATGTTTGATCTTGATGGAATTGTAATTGATTATAATGACACTGTATGCCGTACGGCTTCTACGTAGCTATTGACGCGAGCTTGTAGCCCAATGAATCTTCTGTCTGAGCACCGTTCACGTTGACAGCAAGACTATAGAATTTCAACAGACCACTTTATCAATTTGAGTCAGGAGATCTATTCCTCTATAAATGCTACTGATAACATTATCTCTTATTGAATTGGATGTGATGTTATTGAAATAACAACTAAGTCAGTCAATGAAACAGCCGTGGAATGGAGAATGCAGATGAAAGATTTTGTAGTTAAAATCAAACTTTGTTGAATATCTCATGCAATTCCTCCCAAGATTATATGTTGTTACAGGCATTGAAAAACGGGGGTCAGAAATATACATGACGTGAAAAAAAAGAATTTCGATATTAACGGAAAACTGGGATAAGATGTGGTTGTGAGTTTAAGATGCCTTCGTCAATGTCAGAGATACGAGATCTGATGGAACATATTTGAATGACGAGGATCGGATAGACAGCATCTGCGTAGAGTCAATACAGCTCAATTCACGACATGAAATGCCCTCATATGGTAATATCCCATGGATCCTTCAAGGGTGGAAGCTTTATTTACATTGGCTGTGCTCTCTCTATGGATGGACGGAGGTTCAATTGTGACTTTTGACCTTGTTACCTGGGGAGTTTGGACACCATTCTCGGTCAGAGAGGCTGAAATAATAACAACATTCTCTGTAGAAATTGAGATGGATCTCACTTGTGCCTGGAGATCAGGTTTTGGCCTTCGACTGCAATTGATAACTACTGCAGTAAAAAATACAGTTGGCGACGATGTATATACATCGATGGTGAGGGACTTTCAGCACCTGAGCCTGAAAGTCCTCGATAGGTTGACGGCACATATCTCATGTTCACGATATATTAGTTTACGAGTAACTGGTACTACTTCACTAAGTGACCAGATTGTCCATATGGGTGACACCCAGAAGCTCATCAAAAAGCATACCCAAAGATATACGTAGAGTATCACTTCAGATGTCCTCAATAAACATGAATCTCCCTTTCCATTAGCCCATTGAAGAGGGCAATCACGGCGATTTAGCCCATTTGCAACAAGTCGACGACCTCTCCCGTTTGTTGAAATCGCAGTTTTTCTCTCCTCATCCGTCGAAAGGATAGCGCAGAATGGCAGGAACAGAACAAGAATACGATGGAACAAAGTGGATGCTCCAGCTATTTTGTGAAAAAGCCGCATTCTCACTGTGTAAACGAAATGGGTAGCAGAAAAATGGGTGGTGGGAAAAGAAAATAGAAGACATAAACATGTTCTCTCATGGTGAGCTATGAGACTACGCCTTAACGTCCTGACCTTGTATTGTTCAATAAAAATAACGAGGCTAATGCCAGTCGTCCAGCATCGTCAATTGCCTCCGGGGGATTTGAAGAACCCAAATATAGACTCTTAGACTCTAATAAGAAAAGAAGAGGAGCATAGCCTAGTTTTAATCTCAAGAGTAGGAAGACCGTAATCCCTGGATACATGAAGAGTCCTGACTGCGTTGTCCGCATAGATCTGCAGCCCAAATATGCGGAAAAGGACAAAAAACCTGAAGCAAAGCCGAAAGAAGTTAAAACATGGATTGGAATTGGTTCAAATTAAGCTTGAGCTTATTGGATTGTATTGGATGCTGGCTCTGATTGACGCCATATAGCATGGGCCAACCTTATCGACCTCAGCATCATATCGTCATTATATTTCTCGAAGTTCTCCACCTCCTTTTGCAGTCCGGAATCCCTCTGATATGATTCCATGACGCCGAAAACCCAACTTTCTAATAATATTTTTATTATACATCTTTTTCCTCGGCGTCACTTCCCCGTTCTGATCTTTTTCTGTATTGTCCTGCACTTCCCCTGACTCTTTCACTTCTTCTGCTTCCTTCTCGTCTCCTGATTCGTGCTCATCTCCAGATTCCTCTCCTACGAAGACGGCAACCAAGTGATTTGTCCCAGATTATCATTCCACTTTGTCCATCAAATGGGAGAGTTGAGGAAGCCAGACTCTGGATTTCCTTACCTAGGTCCAGACTTGCTTACCAGATATCGGCTCAATGGGTATTCCGTTTATTAGAACCGAATTGGGTACAGCCAAGCTGATATAACCTAGATATATGTGGCTAATTAACATCTCAAATATATTCATATGTTAAATCGGGCTGATTATAGTTCGGGCATGGTCTCTGCTTTAACGACCGGAGTTTCGAATTAGGATTCAACCTTGCGATTTTGAGTTATTGGCAGATATTATTCTTTTGCACTACGGTGGACACAACATTTCGGGCTACTATTATAGATATTTTTTGGGTTTTGATGCTCGAGATAACTTTGATTAGTTAGCTATCATTTAGGAGAATCTTTTAGGTTCGCTTCGAGGTTTGAGAAACTGAATTGCATTGAGCACGGTCGACTGAAGTTTTTTGAAGTTAATCTAATCATTATTCCTGTATAGTCTCAAAAAGACTAATATTTACCAATGTGGATTATCTGGTCTTCTTTGGAGCAAATTTGGTTCTAAGCCCAGTATAATTCCGCGTGTGCACAGGTTGAAAACCTTGAATAAAAGTAAATCGAACCCAGCCAATAAGAACGGCATAACTAAGAAACTAATAAAATTAAGGTTACGGGAAGGGTCCATGGGCGGATCTACCCGAACCTAACTTAAAGCTTAATTACTCAATCCTAAGGGAGAGCAGGAGAGATGTGAAAAGGCCCTTGTGCCCAGGTCGATCCATAAATTTTATGATGCTGTAGATCTTTCACAAAACCTGATATTATTCATCAATATTGAAGGCTTGAGGCGGCTATGTTACATACCTAGGGTTTTCAAATTTAGCCAAGCATATTTGGACCGAGACAGCACCCACAAACAGATCTAGTTGAGTGGAAGAAGATCCCAAAATAAGATCTATTATTATGCCACAGTGCTCCCTGTCATAACGTGGGAAGTTAAACCTACAATTATATATTAAACAAAACTACAGACCCAAAGGCAAAAACTACTGGTGGAAATTGTAATATCTCTCCTATTGTGTATCAATTAGTCTGTCGTGCTGCGGATGGTTGCGTGTAAATTTCATATGCAGCTGCCAATCTTAGCTTCGCTATTTAGCGTTCTAGACACTTGCGAAAAACGCCTGGAGGGATAAAATCGGGATCCATGGTCCAGCGCCTTGGGTTTCAAGAGTAACCTTTCTGCAATATTTTCGGAATTGCTAACTAAGCTCGCGAGAGGGTTTGGGTGCTAAAACGCAAAAGCGAGAAGCGAAAGGCCAATAGGCCGCTTAGTTTGTTACTCTTCGCGTTCGCTTAACAACCTCACTAGTTACCCCAGGATGGCTCCCAAAGGAGAGCTTAAATCACCCACAGCCGCCCCTATCTGAAAAAAGCGGCTGCACCTACGCCTCCCAAGATGATCTCGATAAATCTGAGATCAAACGTTGGTAACTTCTGCATTGTCCCGTCCCATTTCACTGAATAAGTGGCAATAATGGCTCAACTGCAGGAGACCGTTATGTCTTCATCTTATCCGTTTTTAAATATCCAGCAAAACTGATATAAAACTATACTGAGATATCAGTCGAGAGTTGTACGAAATAGACATGGCCTCTCGCATATATTTCGGTTTCGCTTTAAATTTGTGCGTCTTACAAACAATATGAGCAACATTGTACACAACGGGAGGAAATGAACAGCAGACGGCAGAAGGATATGAAGGAAACGCTCTGCCTAGTGCAGTATTTCATGCGCTTTTCCTTGACTAAGATTTTGGGAGATGTTTCTGCTCGTGGAACGACCTTTTGGGAAGAAGTAAAAGGAGTTTGAAAAGTCTTCGAAAATTCAAACGACATTGAAATGGAAAGCTGCTGGAGCCCAGCATTTTAAACGGTTTCGAGTTACTCCGTACCAGCAGCATTAATCCTGGGGCCGAATGCCGAATATTAAAAACAAAAAAAAGAAGGAAAGGTAAAAAAAGTGTGAAAAGGATCAAATTTATTTATTTATTTATTTATTTTTTTGGTAAGAAAAACCAAGATCTAATAATGCCGGCTGGAACAAATAGACGTCAGTCATGACTGCGGAGTCCGACTCTAAATTTGACAGCTCGATTTGTTGGTTCTCCCACCTTTTTGTGTCTGTTGAGTTTGTCAGCCCTTAGGGGGTGCCGTTTGGATTCTAGGCTCCGTGCTTAAGCGTTGTTGGCGGAATGGTTCGAAAGCACGAGTAACTAATGGATAGCCGTGCCGCAGACGAAGTGCAACTATCAGATATCAAAAACAGTGCAACAACTTAATCAATGCAAATGCCCTTAATACGCATAGTATATGTATGCATACAGAATAAATTTACTAGTCGTACGATGGAAATGAACTCCGCTCAGCAGTGTGGTTTGGTGCCTTTTGAACCTCTGGCATATACCCAAATAAAATCCAATTCCATTCAAAAAAGCCAGGAAATATATCGTTTATACCCCTATCAATGATAAATGGCTGTCAACACGAAAATAAAAGAAAAAAAATATAACGGAGTATGAAACTGGATGGTTTGTCGGGGGTATCAAATGAACAATGAAAGGGATTCTAAATCACAAGAGCGGTTTATAGACCACCTAAAATAAAATCTATATCGAAGCCACCGGCCATGTCATGCATGTCAGAGAGTTTCAAGAAACTAGCAGGATTGAAAACTCCCAATCCCACTGACACGAGCTCATGGGTAGAATGCACTGGCAATCGGTAACATTCATGGAAGGATTCAATCCAACAGAATGTCACCCTGACAAGAATAAACAGAGGCGAGCAGAAGCAGGAAAAGGGATAGCTAACCAAAGAGCTCCGTATCCGAAGGAACAAGTTCCTCAGTGACGACTCTCGTCTTCTTGAGACTCTTCTTTGACTTAGTCGTCACCGGGGGTTGAACTTGAATGGGTGGAACGGGGATTGAACGGCATTCTTTGACTGGCTCCAGTGGTGCCTTTTCGGCATCCGAATAAAGGCTGCGTGGAGAGTTTTGTTTCAATGTATTCGGTGTGCTCATAGAAGAAAGAGCTGGGCTAGTCTGGAAGGGTCGCCCGTCGGAAGAAGAAACGAATGTTCCACTCGGGCTTCTGGACCCAACTGGGGTGTTTGACGACGAAGACGATGATGTTAGAGGTTGGCTATGGTATGACTGATGGCGTGGAATATCTGAAGACGAAACGGGGTCCATGAGGCTGGCATTGGAACTTATGGTGGAGAGTTGTCGTTTGTGTTTTTCGCTGTCGTTCGAGCTGGATATCGAGAGAGGTGACTTGGGTTTGCCTATGTCAGCCATTTGTTTGAGGAATTCTTCGCTGGCAGGCTTATAGACAAAGGCTGGTGGGTCCGAGCTACGCGCTGAGGGATTTGCCGTGCTACCCTCTTTCTCCTGTTGAGAAAAAGAAGGTTGAGGATCAGACGAAACAGTAACCTTTTCGTCCTCGTGATCAGAAAAGCAACAAGCCGTCCAGGTTTTTGACCCACTTCTTCTGCTGTCATGTTCATGGTCCATGAAGGCATGATCCCCCGAAGTCGTCGTGCTTATTGGAAGTTGATTCCAGCCACCTGCCATGGGTGCTGTGATAGCCAAATCCCCAAATCTCTCGTCAAGAACCCTTCGATTTCCATTCCTGCGGATTCTGCGTCGCTCCAGGTAGTTCTGAAACCAGGAGAGAACCATGTCTATGAGGATGTCTAGATACCGAGTAGCTAGTGCGTGATAAAAATAATCAAGCTTTTCGCCAAGGCTTGAGATGTAGAAGAGCGTGTTGACGTCCCAAAAGATACTATGGAACGAGACGGATGAACGGCGTGGGAGAAGTCTAGATTGATGTTATATAAAGTCGAGTATGTTATGATACCTCACAAGCATGAGCCCACGCCTATGAAGCGGCAGAGCAGAGGTATTAAAATACTTCATGGGGCGGCAGACCCACTGGTTCCCTCAGCATCTCCAAGTGACACTACACACAGACGCCCTGAGAATGTGGTCCACCAGAGCTCGAGCAAGAGCCCCCTGGCGAGACCTGACGTTAAGAAGAATGAGAACAAAGATATAAAACCTCAAACCATAAGGACCATCAAAATGTTTGGAAAAAGACGAAATGAAGAGAAAAAAAAGGGAAATTGAGTCGAGAAGAAGATGGAGGTTGCACAACGGTTGAGAATGAGTAACTAGCATATGCTGAATGCCGACCATCAGCTTCTCTATGTGCATGGGGCTTCAGCGTATATATCATTATCCTGGGGGGGGGGGGGGGGGGGGGAAAGCAAAAGTTAAGTTTGCTAGTTGAGATGTAATAAAAGCAAATATAACTGAAAAAGTGAAGCCCGGTCTGAAAAATAGAAGTTAATTTCCTAAATATAGAAACATTAGCTACATATTGCGGACCAGAGAGCGAATCAAGAATCACGGCAATTTTAGAAAGAGGCTAAGTTAGCAAAGTGAACTGTCCAGGGCAGTCTTGGGACAAGGGCAGCGGACTAGGATGATGGCTTTGGGGACTGGCAGGCTGCAATCCAGATCAATCACGGAGGGGGAGCAGATGCCACATCCGCCATAGAGGGGGAAGAGCAAGCGGGGACGATCTTGACAGGGAGCCAGGGACATCAGCATCCGGCAACTGAGTGAGACAAGATGCAAGACCTAGCCACATGAGGAGAGGATATGGCAGGAAACATCATTTCATCTTCCGTCCCGACTATTCTGTCCCATGAGAACGGTTCAATACAGCCTGGGCAGTAATGGGCGCAGTGTGGGTCGCAGCATACTGGAATGGAGCGTCCGAAACCTTCTCAGAGGATCATCCACCCCGATACCCGGGAAGAACAGGATAGAGGAGGCTAAACTCAGAATGGCTAGTAGCCCGTAGAGATGCATACAACATGATAGGCCCGAGAGGAGGATCCCTGAGAGGAGAGCAGCATCCGATTTCGCCCATTGTGTTGACGGTGATTGGAAGCGTGCAGGAGAGGATCCGTGAATGTTCCAGCATCTCCAGCGTTGGAAGCTGCAGGTTGGAAGGGGGAACATCGGGATGTGTTTGCGGTGTTTGTTTGCGGCTGCATGGTCAATGCCCATTTTGAGTTTAGCGTGGTTGATCACTACGATAGTCACAGCCAATAGGAATTACATAATCCCCTGTTCGCTTCCCGGTAGGATTGCATTTATTGCGCATCCAGAACTCATGGGATAAACATTTCTTCTCTCATGTCTTTGGCAGCTCAACCGCATTACCGCCACCCTCCAAAAGCAATGACAACAGGTGGTCCCCACAGCTCCCATCACCTTTCAGCAATAAGAGTGTGGAGGGCACGGGCGTCGTAATGTGCTTTACTTACTAGAACCTCCTGCATACTGGAGGTAACATAGCATACCCGGTGGTGGTGGACAAGGTGTTTTCCACCTGTTCACGATTCATCCGCGTCCAAATTTGTCATGATCTGCTGGTCAAGGACAACTTCGGGGCCTTTGGACATCCATATTGTATACACCAGTTCCAAAGTTACTGTTAGAGGGCTTAGTGGACGACATCATTCTTTTGTTCCTTGAATATTAACCGGAACCTCAATTTTGGTCGGACGGCACAGCGAGATTCGCCTCTAGTCAATGCCTAATCCCAAATTGGTGAATTTTACTACTTAGGCACTTACTTTCCAATGGCCAAAAAGCAACATAATTTTTGTTCTCATAGAGGGGCAGAACTATTGATTCGTTGTTCCATGTTTCTGGGGTCCAAAACGAAAAGATGTAAAAGAAAAAAAAAAGACACATCAGCCCCAAGAACCCGGATACCCTTACAACTCTTCAGCCATGATTTACGGATCTGTGCTAACTTCACGCGCATCATTTTGCAATGGCGCATCATGTGCTGATGGTTGCAGCCCTCTCGTCAAGCTAGTCATATCGACTGAACCAATTACTTTTCCGGTTGCTTTGCTCTCAATAACCAAGGAGCTGGGTTCCCCCCGAAGGCTTTGAGGCTTTAAAGCTTCAGCAAACTTAAGAGGGCTTTACATACATCTGGCATTCCCTTTTTTTTTATTTATTTATTATTATTTATTATTTATTTTATGGGGTAACTACCTTGATATTTTATGCATCCAAATCTCGAATTGCTATTCGCGATAAGTTACATTAGGATCAATTATTACGAACATAAAACAACAAGCTTTTTTAGTTCATCCTGTTAATTAACTATCCAGAGGCTTATTTCGTCATCAAAATCTTGAAATCGCCCACAACGAGTGGAAAAACTTGAAATTATTAGCATTTCTGTCTACATTTACGAAAGATGGCCTGGCGCAACATCACTCTTCCACCATTACAAGATATCGCTTTTCATCCTGCACTTTGTTCTCCGACATTCCTCTTTGGCCTTAACTTTGTTCTCTAAACTCGAAAATTCGAATGCACTGTCCCCCCTCTTTTCAACCCTAACCAACTGGAACGAAACCCCGGGGTGTCAGAAGTGTCAGTCGCTAATAAGCTATGTATATCCATCTAACAACTGGTAGCGAATAGGCCATCCGCACTTTCGCCCGTATCCATACCCATCAGATATGGACAGCATGATATGATTAAAAGCAATATTTGTAAATTCATCAATTTAGATGATCTTACGGGCAAGAAAAACAAAACAAACTTAATCGACAACTTCTCAGCTCCGTCCATGACACCATTGACGCCATCTCTCTTTTTCAAAACCTCAGGTTGATTCAAAACAGTGTACCTACTCTGTCTCTCGACCGGCGCCTCTTTCGAGACTAAACCCATGCCCGTAGTTCCACAACACACGCTTGATGCAAGTGGATTTCCTCCTCCATGGCTCACGGCTGTCATCCGAGTTACAATATTCGTTCAGATATTTTTAAAATTAATCGTTGTATGGGATCGAGCTATTGTCGAGCTGCATTTCTGGCCACCTGGATAGTTGCTTGTTATTATCGCACTCAAGCAAAGTGAAAAGAAAGATCGACGTCATCGCTCACCACCCATCTCTAAAGGAAATTTCACATCTTACAACCTGCCGTGGGAATGACTGCTAGCTTGCTAAGCTATAGTCACGCCCGGTTTCTCAGGAAATATATGATACCTTTCGTCAACCAGGAACAGCGGGTAGCATGGACACAGCAAAGCTTAAAGCAACTTCTTATGTTTCCCCTACCCGCAGCTAACTAATCTACATAATCTCCCATGAGTCCAATGACCATTCTAGCATTCTAGCACCAATGTAATTCATGCTCTGCCCTTACCCACGGGACGCTCCGATAAAGACCCGCTCCCTGTCGCAAGCGATACGCCTGATTGTATATATGTACTGTACATATAATATACATGAGCACTTGTTGGTGCTCCCGAATCTGCATGTGACGTGTCTTTATTCGAACATACGCAGCTTTTAACCCGAATTGCGCAGGCTGGCCTCCAAATAGACACCGCAGAGAAATCAAATTTCATGCCGCCAGAGCGGCTAACACTCATACAACCACTACTGGGTGAAGAACTGGTGGTCAATGTTGTCAAATCTCTATCATTTGACCCCGTGAAATGGCAGGGAGTGACGTAAACGTTCTTGAATACCTTTGCAGTCGCTAAAAGCTATCCACAGTATCTAAGCAGTTATAGTAGTTGCACTGCTGATTGCACGACTGCAACCACTGAAAAATGATCGGGGTTCCAAGTTTTTGATGCACATCTCCGCGGTTCACTGGCAACAACAAGGGCTATGAAAGCAAAGACTTAACAAAGTTAACAGATCCCATCAGCATCCGTCCCCCACCTGGTTACATACTCCCTTCTTCACCCACACGAGTTTTCGATTCCTTCCCCCCCCCAATAAACTAGGTCGTTAACCTTTCGCATCTGACCCGGGCAACCAAAGCAGCGAACGAAGCTCAGCCGTTGGTTTAGCCCTGGTATCTTCTCCGGGGGCAACGCGCTTGTAACTAGCCTCTGGCGTTCTTTAGTCGGAGTTGAATATTAGTTCGATGAGCAGATGAAAAATCGCCGGGCTTCGAAGTGTTCGTCCTCCTGGAGAGGGTAGAGGTTGCAACCCAAAAACACAATAATAACAATAGCAATATAATTAAGTTAAAATTAAAAAAAAAAAATTAAAAGGAGGAAATAAATAAAACAAATAAAACGTTCATTCTTCAATTACTCTAGACACTATGATAAATCATCCGACTCTGCTTCTGGAATACCTGCTACATGGGTTGTTGGTGATTCATCTCAGAAGTATGAGCTAGTAGACTAAGAGAGGGAGATTTATACAACAAAATGGGAGACCTACGGAGTACGGTTGTTTCAAGTGGTCACAAACTCAGCAGCATGTATTTTTTTTTTCTTTCTTTTTTTAAAACTCTCACTCTCTCCCCTCTTTCAAATGAGTGTTGTTCCATGCAAGTTAATCGTGTACCTTCATCTCAGTTAATGGCTAGCTAGGGATTTGCACTAAGGTGATACTTTCTGCTGATAACTCTCGATTCTGGACAGTTGCTTCACAGACAAGTATGTGTGAACAGCCCATGAACATGCATACAAAACTTCAGATGAACCCAGTATGTCTATCCATAGCAACCAGAAGCACCCTCCAGATATTGGTCTGAGTGTGCGGGGACAGAGGAGACAACATTAAACGTGAACCAGGTTGTCGCTAGAAGGAAACAATGACCACCGCCCTACACTCTTGCCCGACGATCTGGATGCACTGGCACGTTGGCTCATCCATTCTACGTGTATTCTGTTGTCCCTAGCACATCTCCAGGGTATAATGGGTGAAACAGGAGAACATAAAAATATGGCAACACAGTGTAAGACACTTAGCGGATACAGAGAAAAATACTCAGTGGTTTAATTATCCGGCAGACTTCCACTCTACCATTGCTAACTTGAATCAGACGACGTAGGAGACGGGGGTTGGCTTCTTGTTCCGGCGCTTATGAGAAAGGCAGGGAGTGTAGCCGCATACAGGACGGCCGCAGCAGTAGTCGGAGACCGTGCTGGCATTGCTGTCAGAACATGAGGGGTGGAATGACGCCGTGAGTGGTTTGGAGTGTGCCCTTTACTACCACTAGCCCACTCCGACATATTTGAATATGGGGTTTCGTTAGGTGAGATCCGTTCAGGGAGTCGAAAATTCTGAGGCAACGAAGAGTCCAACGGGACATCCTCGTGCTCCACATTTAGAGTAAAGAGGGTCTTGCTGGTTTTTTGAGTTGTGAGGGGTTTCGGCACCTTGTGTTCACTCATTTGAAGATCTTCAGCCGAAGTAACATAAATGCGGGAAGTTGTGACGTTAGAACCCAAACTCTCCTGAGATATCGAACTCCGTGATTTGCGTAGTTGACGGACAGGCTGTCGGGCAACCTCTGGATCTTCGCTAGCATTAGCACTGTACGAGCTGCTACGATGAGCTCGGGTCCTCATATGCGGAGGGGCATCCTCATCTGTGATCGGATGAATAATTTTTCCCACAGGTGGATCGATGCGATCAACATGAAAAATAACCCTTGCTCGCATGGTTTGAACGGCAGAATCCAAAGCCAGTTCAACGGCACAGTGATTCCTTATCCTGCCTAGTTTGGGCCACGTCGCTCGTTCACCACTGAGGCAGGCTTGCGTCATAAATTCAGTGGTAGGATTCCTCAGGATGTTTGGGAATACCTCATATGGTATCTGAGGGAGGATATTGATGTCTCCATAATATGTTTGGCTCATGATGGATCTGAGTTTTCGTAGGACGTTAGGGAATACCCCGATCTCAGAAAGGACGTGTATTCGATGTAATACTTCCTCTCTTGCTGCCCATGTAAGATGTTTCAACCAACTTGAATCAGACTGCTTGTCGACAACGTCGGAAAAGAAGAATGTATCTTCCTGTGGAATAAAGGGAATAACGTGCGGATTGACCTGGGAAACAATGAAGTGGTTGACATTGAACATTTCTGATAAACGTGCCATTGGTAGGTCATGATCAACTGAGCCGTCGATCCATCGATGATGAGGAGCGTCGTGCCATTCTGTTACTTCTCCAGTGATCGGATCTTTCGCCTTCAAAGATGACGACGAAAAGATGAGCGGAACGGAACATGAAGCGGCTCTGCGCAAAGAAGAAAAAAAGAAAAAAAAAGTAAGTATATAAACTAAACGTGTATCTAAACGACAAACTTACACAGCTGACCATATCAACACATTTGGAGCGGTGATATAGTTTAGTAGCTTTGGGAGCTCGTAGATGCCAGCGTTGGAGACGCCAATGTTCAAAACCCTCCTAGTCCGATTGTAGGCCTCCTGAAACGTCACATCTCCAAGCAAATCTCGAATCACTCGGGTCAGATGAACGATGTCAAAAAAGGAGCCATGTTTAATGAACCTCATGAGCCGTTGAAACACTTGCAGTCTACCATCCTGGGCACCAAACACGGAGAAATCTTCCTGTCCAATGTTCGAGAGGATCTCGGGTATTTCTTCATCTGTATACGCACACAAAACAGCGCCAACGATACTCCCCGCAGAGGAACCAGAGATAATCCGTGGCAAAAGTCGTGTCTCCCAAAGTGCCTTCACAACACCAACGTGGTTCATGCCAAAGGTAGCACCACCTGAGAGTAAAAGCGCGCTTCTACCAAACGCTTGACGAGCCGCTAGGAGCTGCTCTAGCAGATACCTCGACTCCGCGCCATCAAAATCAAACCTTCGCGACACATCTAACAACGTTGACAGAGTTTCTGCAGCGGTTGTGATATATTGATCCACCAGGTTCTTCGTTCCAATACGGGAGTGGTTGTACAGTTTCCGGTTGGTCATTCCTCCTAGATCACGGCTGAGGGAAGTACGGATAATATGGGTCATTGCCGCAGCATCACAGCTATGACGGGCCTGCTCCAGTTGCTCCAGCCTCCCCTGGACAAGCACCGGATCGTATTCGTCGCACTCAAAGGTTGCTTTCCATCCATTGTTCCCGTCAAGTTCATCCAGTTCCGCTGCATATTCTAACCAATCGTGAAGTGTAGTAGCCTGCAATGAAATTGTAAGAGAAAGGGGGTTAGAATACAGAATGTGAGTTGAGTTTGATAATACTTACATCGCGAAGTTTCACGGAAAGGATCCTTTTCCTCTCCGCAATTCGCAACTCTTCCTCATTTGACGTGTTTGCCCTCAGATTGCAAAGTGCATTTGCTGCTTGAGCGAGAGTGGAAACGAACGACAATAAGGAGTTGCAGGCGACTTTCCGTAGATGGGTAATGTCTGGCACCGGTTGAGATTTTGAAAATTTTTGAAGCTCTGAAGATGTGGAGGTTGGCGACAGCTTTTCCTGATGGCAAGGAATTGAAACGAGTGCCTGATCTCTCAGAAGGGGCATGGTGAGGAGGGTTTCTCAACTTCTTGCTGCATGGAACCTAACTCCCGGACCAATGTAAATGATTCAATCGGCACAAATTCAAGTCCTTAAGACCTCAAAGAAACCGTCTGTGACGGAGGAGAGGAACATATATTAAGATAACATACATGTTTAGGTGACTAGGTGGTTAAGAGTAAGAATATCTAAAACAAATGGAGCCGTCCTCTGCCGAAACGGGGATATATCAACGGATGTCGTCACATCAATCAATCAATCGATTCATACCAATATTTATCCACGCTGGACGGGGTCACGCGAAAAGCTGCAACAGGGCGATTAATCGGGGGGTTGGATCAAGGCAAGTTCACCCAGCCCGCGCTAATTGCCATCGCTGGGGAAGCTCTAAGCTGAGGCAAAGTATCTCAGGGTATCTTCTACCGGAGGCTAGGTGAAATATTTAACTAATATGCGCACATTGTACTTTCAGGTACTTCCCTATCACATGTCAGCCCACGCTTCGTGAAGCAAACTCTCCCAACTCGCTCGCCACTGCAAGGAACCAGTAACATAGAGTTCGTGTAGGACTCCCCACTAAATCGCGGCCTTAACTACGGAGTAGTTAGTTAACTATGAGATAAGACACAAGGGTATCTAACTAACTAATCGTGCCGCTGCGCAACCCACACCTCATGTGGGTGCACCACACCAAAATGATAAAAACTCCAAAACAATAAAAATCTTGAATCACATCCTCATTATTGCACTCTATATCAACAACCAGTAGCTAATCTATAATAAAAAGATTATCTACATAATTCTCAGTATGTGTGCCATCTCTAAATTGATTTAATTCCTCTTCTGTCAATGGTGTGAGTGAGTTATTGTCAATTTTCATGGGATTAACTCCAAGTCTTCATCACTTCTTATTCTGCTCTTTTTCAGCTTCATTATTCTTATACTGGTTGATTTTTCTATTGACATCTTTAATAGTGAGGACTTCCTCTACTTGAACCTGACAATGGATTGTTTTGGCTCTGTGGTGTTTACTGACATTGAGAAAGTTCTCTAATTCAATGATCTGTTGCTCATTAAGTTTCATGTAGATTAGACTTACTTTAAATATCTTGTTTAAACAACATGTCAAGATGAGTGATTTCAAATCAAGAGTATCTCTAATACTTTGTATGGTGTTTTCTGCAATATTAATATGATGTTTCAGCTTTTGAATTGTCTTTGATAAGAATAGCTGAGAGGAAAAGATATATATATGATCTGAATTATTCTTATCTTCATAAATCTGTAGTGGAGAAGGTGATAAGATTCACTGCTTAAGAGTATCAAGAACTTAGTCAGAATTTCATGAATATATGACATATTGAGTCTATTCTGCAGCTATTGTATTAGATTTAAAGATTTGCTTTTGCATAGCTGAGAGGTCTTATAGAAACTGCTGTTATTCATATTTAACAAGACCATGACATATGGCATAGTTGACTGCTTTTGAATGATAATGCTTATATTGCTGAAATGATAGACTATTCAGAGATTGTAGTAAATAAGTGACATGTGATGAAAATTTATATAGAATTATTTTATAAAATTCTATATATTGTATGAACTTCTCAGTGATATAAGATTTATGATTATTCATTAAAAGTAATTGATGACTTCTTTTATATCTTTTTTCTGTAGCAATATTGAAATATTTAAGTCAAGTAAATTCAATCTCATTATTTATAAATTCAGTATCTGATATAGCAATTTTATAATTGCTGAGTAAATCTATCTATATATATCAATTCTTTAAGTGTGTTTTGAAGGCTAAGATTATCAATGACAGAATGATATGATTATTCATGAATACATATTCAATGACTGTAATCAAATCTCTTGGAAAGGATAAAGAAATAATGGAATTAGCTTCTTTAAAAGCAGTTATAACTCATTCTCCACATCCTTGTCCTTGAAATTCAATCTCATTGAAGTTGTATGTATTATAGATATGAAATTGATACTGCTCAAATAGAATCTGAAGATGTTCAAATTATGTATTAATATATTCAATATCTTCAACTGTCACTCTCTTTAAATTCATTGACTTCTGTTTCACCATCTTATACTTAGATAGATGTTCAATGAACCTATAAGTTCACATCTTGCTGACTTTTGAAAGAGAGGTATTAGAATCTATATATTAACATCTGAGCATTGAATTTGCAAAATTTTCAATGTATTCAGCTGTGGGAGGATAATTCTTTTCATCAAGCAGCTTGATTCATCATTTAATTGCATTCTTCTGACTTTCATTTAATCTTTTGTTAACTGGAATCTTTGCAGTATTCAGATTTCTTTCATTGAAATACACTTGGAGACATTGATAAGAAATCTCAAATTCTTATGACAGAGACAGTATTTTGAAATTTTGATTTTTTTGATGGTAAGCAACAGCTTTTTGAATACAGTCTTCAATATTTTTATCCTTATTTGACATTGTGGTGAGTTATATGAAGATGATGAAGATGATGAAATTGCAAGATTTTTATCATTTTGGTGTTTTTATCATTTTGGTGTGGTGCACCCACACGAGGTATGGGTTGCGCAGCGGCACGATTAGTTAGTAGGATCATGGAACAAAAATAAAATCGCTAACAACTACGTCGCTCACAACAGGTCGAAAAGTATCCAAATTAGCATCGCAAACTACGACGGAGAAGACAACCCAGATCAACTCTTACATGCCCATTCTCTCACAGCAGTTCTCATTTGGGTTTCTGTCCCACTTTCGAGCCAGAAATGCCCACCGGTATCAATCTCCAAAGACTCAAACATTGAACCAGGCACATTCGTAAGATCCGCAAACCACTTGCGCAGCCTCTTCGCAGAGGCAAAAAAGTCATTGTTGCCATACACCGCCAGTGTCCTGTGAGTTGTAAGCTGTTCCTCGGGCTGGGTCGATTTGACCCTTATTCCATTGAGAGTGACGTCGAGATTGATACGAGAGCCGAACAACGACATCGTGATGAAATTTGTGATGGGTGGGAGGATGGGGGAGATCAGGAGAAACGAAACAACAGGCGTAGGCATGTTTTGTAAAATCTCGTGGGGGTCACTGGCGCTCGATCGGTTTTCCACCTCTTGTCCGCGTACAAAGCTGGCCCTCAATCTCCGTCGAGACCGCTCGATGTGCTGTTTAATGGCCGCAGCCGGATCTTCTTGGGGCTTCTTCCCGCTGGAATTTGTGCTACTGCCCAAGGAAACGAGTTGGGGTGGCTTGCTATAGCTAGGATCACTGCTGCTCCACGAAGTCGATGGTTGAGACGATAGTTCCGACCTCGCCCCAGTATTCCAAAGAGTCGATAGCTGCTCAGCCTGCTGCAGAATTTCAGCCCCGGCAGTCCCCTCTGCGGCTGATGCGAATAGGCTTAAAACAGTCTCTATCGACGGTAGATGACACACGATCATGGACCCATAGGAGTAGCCTGCCAAAATAAGTTGCATTCGCTCAGATTCTTTCATCGATTCTGGTGTTCCAGATGAAGAAGATCGTGTTTCCCATTCAGCCCGGGGATCCCGTAGAAAATCCGGATCAATTCCAAGAAGATAGCATATTAGAAATCCGTAGATGGAGACATAATCTCCCAATTCTGGTTTGGCTGTCCAGCTGGTTCTGCCTTCAGATTCTGCAGCACCTCTGTATATCAATACAATTAATCATCAAGTCATTCGTCCATCAATTCATGTATACCACCATGCATAAAAAGGGTATTAGAGCAAAATTATCTAGCTGAACTACCTGAAATTGAACGTCATCACAATGTATCCCACCTTCAAAAGCTCCCTTGCCACCCAGCAGACAATGTGGTTATTATAGTTGCCCCCAATCGGTGCGTATGGGTGTGCTACAACAGCGCCTTTCTTTTTCCAAGATAAGGCGCTATCAGGTCTTGAGAGATGGAGAGGATGGTATAATCGGCAGTCAATTCGGATCCCATCATAGACGGAGGGTATTATGAACTCGCAGAGCGGTTCTGGTGGAGGATCCATGAAGGTTGGCATATTTTGCAATTTACAACAATGGAGCTGGGTATCACCGATGAAGTCGAACGGACAACATAATGGGATTTATTGCGACAAAAGCTGGGCAAGATGTTGGCTTTCCAGGAGAATTACGACTGGTGATGTTTGGCGCGGGCTTCAGCGGCATGTTCATTAGGTTGAAAATGTTAACTTGGTTGAACTGGTAACTATTTGATGGATACAACCAGGCATGGAGCTCTTAACACCTTTAATAGAAACAACCAACGAAAAGGAATTTAGAGCGCTTACAACCGCAATGGAATCCTTTAAAAATTTTCGCATTTGATCTGTTAATATTTATCACATGCTTCTTGAACGACTATATACCAGATTGCCGTGCTTTGGCGCGGTCTTCTTAAGGAAAATGGAGGCGTAAAATTAAAAGGACAGGTATCCAGGCTGATAAACATCATAATAAATAGATACTGACAGTCAAAAACAGTTTATCCATCATCCCGTAGAATGGGATAGGATGATAAAAGAGAACTATTGAGAACATTTCGCTAAAACATTGTATCAAGACAGTAACCAAGAGGGATCAGGCTCGTCGTCATCATCTTCGGATCTGCTGGACTGCTCAGAAGATTGGGCGACTGCGTCTTTCTCCACTGTAAGCAAGCTTGGTGCACTCAACTCCTCTATCTTGCTAGAAGGTGCTGTTGTATCCTCGCCAGAATTTGGATCAAGATCCTTATCTTGATCCATACCATTTACCTTCACTGGCGATGGGAAAGTTTCGAGCAGCAGCCGTTTAGCTTCCCGAAAAGCCTCTAACTCGGCGCCAATGCAGCAAATGAGTAAATTCCAATTTTTTTGCTCCGCTAGCTGTAAGCTTGTTTCCAGTTGAATAAGTGTATCTTCCAGTTCGTTCAAAACAGTTCGTCCATGCTCCACCCTGGCCGAGTATTGGTCTTCGGACTCCAGCAGCTGCGTCTCTTGCAGCAAATTCCGCATTTCTTGTCGCAACAGTTGTTCAAAGTTGGATATCTCAGACACAACCCTTTGCCATACTTCACCACCTTCTCTCAAAGCTTCGATTTCAAAGTCGACGTTCCGCCGTTTGCTTCTCAGCTCACTCTGCTCCATAACCCACTGTTCCTTCGCCATTTCAAGGGTCCTGCGCTTCGGATTCAACGCATAGAACGGCGGTGGAGTAGCAGACGGAGGCACGAGAGGTTGTATTGGCGGGGACTGTAGATACCTGTTCATATCTGCCTGCACCAATGCCAACGAGGCTTTATACGACGATAACTTGGCATCAACTGAATTTTGAATCTGGGATACTTCGTCCAGAATATGGCGATGTCGCGCTTTCATATACTGTAGCTTCATCTCCATCTCTCGAATCTTCGATTCTAGCGTATGGGCCTCCCGCATTAGGCTCTCTGCCATTAACGGCCCCTGTTGGGTTTGAATTTCTGAGATAGCTTTCTCCAACCCTCTCTGCTTGCTCACAAGCGTATCCACTTCCTTCACTGCTGACCGCCTATCCCTCAGCTCGGAGTCAATGAGTCGCCGCTCCTCCTCTTTCACGCTTAGCAACGTATGCATAATTTTAAGGATCCCACATCGTGCACCGCGGAGGCCAATTTTCTTTTTCGTTGGCTGTCTTACGGGAGTGGTGACGGTATTGCTGCGCAGGCTACCGAACCGTGTAGGTGGTGAAGGTGTAGGGGTTAAACTGCCGCTTGATGTGCTTTCATCTCTTGTCGAGCCGGAGAGACCAGCAGCTAATCCCACACTTTGAGCATCGAGGAGAGTTTGGAGATCACGCTGTAGCTGTCTTGACTGGCGTTCTATATGAAGGAAGGAATCATAACAATGAATAGAGACATCGGGAGGAACAGGAACAACCCGTGGTTGGCTGCTATTGTATGGCAGGAGTGTCGACATTTCAAAGACCATAGCTCTTAGAAGAACCCACAAAACCGGAATAGAGATAAGTTGTTACTTCGGCATTAATACAGGAGCACAGATTGCAGGATAACTATAGGGTTATGCACAAAATAGTATGGAGAAGGTCAAAGGAATTGCTTCAACAGGATACTATCGTGTTCTCCTTTTGTAGCAAACTCATCATGCTCCACTTTATCCGCATGACATGCAAAGTGACAGCATGGACAGGAAGATGAGAGTAAACAATGCGGGAGTGTGTTGAGTCCAGTTGAACAGTTGTGACTTCTGGCTCGTGATGTTCCAGCTGTTCGTGAGAGCAACACGGCCTCCTATTGGCTACCCTGGAGTCAATGATCCACGTGAGTCACGTGACATCACCTACAGGAACCACGATTAAGGCCTGGATTGGTCAGCTTCGGCTTCTGCCAAAATATTCCAGGCGTCAAACGACGACGTAGACCAAGTAGAGAGCTGGAGCTATCTACAACATCACTGCCGCATACACCTCTACATACCATCAACCAGCCACTTTTCTCTTGCTCAAACCTGTTTTGGTACTGGACGTGCACTTCCCTTCTTTGCTTGTATTTTATCTTTAGTTTACTTCGTTCCCTTGCGTTCTTGCGGTTGAATGTCAGGCTCTCGCCCTAAACGCCGTTCTGGTCATTGAAGCTATTCCACATCCCATCCGTCAACACCCATTACTCTTTGAGGTAAATTATTTCGACAGATCAAATCTGAACGTGAATATGGTTGGCCTCGTTTCCGCAGCCGGCTTGGTTGGCTTCCTCTCCGAACCCGATCCTGAACTGAAGGTCTTCGCCCTCAAGGCCCTGGATGCGCAAGTCGACTTGCTGTGGACGGAAATTGCCGATTCTATTGACAAAATGTGAGTTGAAAACCTTTTAGCTTCTTATATACTCCCTGTATAAATGTGATTTAGAGACTCTCCTGGATAATTATTGGATGAATGCTAACTGGAGATGAATTTCAACAGAGAGGCGCTCTTCGAGGATGAATCGTTCCAGGAACGTGAGCTGGCTGCTCTGGTTGCTGCTAAGGTATACTACCATCTTCAAGAATATAATGAGAGCATGGTATTTGCGCTGGGGGCAGGAAAACTATTAAATTTGGATAATGGTGGCGAGTTCGAAGAAACGATTATATGTAGGTGACACCAGATTCACGCCATAAATCACGTCTACTTGTATTGGTTCTTTCGTGGCTAACGGCACTCGCGTAGCGAAATGCGTCGATACATTTATTTCGATATCTGCCAGTCCGAAGTCATCGAATGCTGCGCAGGTTTCCAAGAGCATCCCGCGCCCAAATAATTCATTTTCTCCGTCTGCAAATGGGGCAACCAGCACTTCCGCAGGTCTTACGTCGCCCATCACTCCGTTCTCTCAGTCTGCCTTGCCATCGAAATCCCTGCTCTCGCGACAGGACTCAACGCCGTTGGAGGCTGGTGGTGAGGACGCAGGTGCGGATGCCGGCGAGGTCCCCCTTGTGATTCAGCGAGGTGTTCAGAAGCAGCTCCAGGCCGTAATTGAAAGGCTATTTGAGCAGTGCTTCCAACAGAAACGCTATCGCCAAGTCGTGGGCATAGCCGTTGAAGCAAAGAATCTCGACGTACTACGAAAGGTTATTCTTTGCGCGAGTGAAGACGAAAAGCAGCAGGAGGCATCCTCACGAAGTAGTGAAGAGCTTATGGAATATGTTTTGGATATCTGTATGAGCGTTGTACAGGAAAGGGCTTTCCGAAACGAGGTACATTCAAGCCCAAATATAATCGGAAGACATTTCACTAATATCCTTTGCTTTTACTATGCAGATCCTGAAATTGATCCTTGAGCTTTTGAATGAAATACCTTCACCGGACTATTTTTCTATCGCGAAATGTGTTGTCTACCTTAATGAGCACTCAATGGCTTCGGATATTCTACGTCAACTAGTCGAAAAAGGAGATCCACGTTCTTTATCTATCGCCTATCAGATTTCGTTCGACTTGTACGACAACAGCACGCAGGAATTCTTGAGAAAGGTTCGACAGGAAATTAGCCAGCTGATTCCTGACCCAAGTGAAAGTGAAACCCAGAATGAGGAGTATGACGCCAACGCAACTAAAGAAACGGACTCGTTATTCCAGAATCAAGAAAGTCGGTCTGAAACCTCTAACAGCCGGAGTTTGGGCTCGGAGGGTGTGAAACACAAATTCTCTGACGAAGCGCGAGCGGCCTTGAAATCTATCCGCGATATCGTCGATGGTGTCAATTCTATTCAATTATATCTGGAATTCATGTTCCGGAACAACAGAGCCGACATTGCAATACTTAACAAAATAAAGGATAGCTTGGAAGCCCGTAACTCCATATTCCATACCGCCGTGTCGCTCTCCAATGCGTTCATGCACGCAGGAACTACACACGACAAATTCTTCCGTGACAACCTTGAATGGCTAGGTAAAGCTGTCAATTGGTCAAAGTTCACTGCCACGGCGGCCCTTGGTGTGATCCATCGAGGAAACCTAACCCAGGGACAGCGGCTTCTTGCGCCATATCTCCCCAAGGATAATATTGCTGGAGTTGGCGGTTCCGGATCGGTTTATAGTCAAGGCGGCTCATTATACGCCTTTGGCTTGATCTATGCTAATCACGAAGGCTGGGCAGTGGACTTGATTCGAGAGCATTTCACGAAAGCAACGGAAGAAGTGATCCAGCACGGTGGCGCACTTGGTCTGGGTGTTGCTGGGATGGCAACTGGTGATGAAGGCATATACAATGACCTCAAGTCTGTCTTGGAAACCGACTCCGCTCTTAACGGAGAAGCTGTTGGTCTTGCAATGGGTCTTGTTATGCTTGGGACGGGTAACATGAAAGCTTTGGAGGACATGATCCGGTATGCCCACGATACTCAACACGAAAAGATCATCCGCGGTGTTGCCTTGGGTATGGCTCTTATTATGTATGGACGACAAGAAGCTGCGGATGAATTAGTCAATGGGCTCTTGGGTGACCCTGATCCTACGTTACGTTACGGTGGTATTATGACTATTGCCCTCGCATACTGCGGAACTGGTAGCAATAAAGCGGTCCGACGACTTCTACATGTCGCTGTTAGTGATGTTAGCGATGACGTGCGCAGGGCAGCCGTGATGAGTCTTGGATTTATTCTGTTCCGCAAGTACCAGAGTGTCCCTCGCATGGTTGAACTTCTTTCAGAATCTTACAACCCCCACGTCCGTTACGGCGCTGCTATGGCCCTTGGGATCTCTTGTGCTGGAACCGGGCTAGATGAAGCTGTGGATCTTCTGGAGCCAATGTTGAAGGACCCGACAGATTTTGTACGGCAGGGCGCTTTGATCGCATTGTCGATGGTTCTGGTTCAGCAGAACGAGACCATGAATCCGAAGGTTGGCGCCATTCGCAAGGCAATGCAGAAGGTAGTCGGGGATAGGCACGAGGATGCTATGGCCAAATTTGGAGGTGCACTTGCGTTAGGAATTATTGATGCGGGAGGGCGGAACTGTACCATCAGCCTCCAGACACAGACTGGCAACCTCAATATGCCTGGAATTGTTGGAACGGCAGTTTTTACGCAATACTGGTATTGGTTCCCGCTTTCACACTTCCTTTCTTTGAGTTTCACTCCTACTGCTGTCATTGGAGTCGACCAGAAGCTGGAGGTTCCCGTATTCAGGTTCCACAGCAATACACGACCAAGCCTTTTCGACTACCCCCCCGAAATTCAGGTTAAAGCAGACGAAGCGCCGGAGAAGGTAAAAACTGCTGTACTTTCAACCACAGCCCAGGCCAAGCGGCGTGCGCAGAGGAGAGAAAAGCTGCAGCGTCGGGAGAGCATGGATATCGACCAAACTCCTACCACCCCCAAGGTGTCGACGCAGCATGTCGATAAGATGGACGTGGATGAGAACGTTGTGAAAGCGGAAGAAGATGGGAAGGAGGGTGAGAAGGACGGGCCCCAAACAGAGGCACCGAAACGCAAGATGGAGAAAGAAAAGGTTGGCTGTGAGCTGCAAAATATGTCTAGGGTACTTCCAGCACAGCTGAAATACCTCACTTTCCCCGACCCGAGATATGAACCCGTCAAGCGCGTAAGTAGTCCCTTATCTAATACCTTAATTTTACTTATTCAAATGTCTCGTGGCTTTAATATACTAAGAAACATTCTTCCCAATACAAAGCCTACCGGAGGAGTTGTCGTTGTCCTGGACAAAAACCCGTCCGAACCGCGTGAGATCATCGAGCTACGGGCGAGTAGGGAGACGAAGCAGCCCGCAGGCGGGGAGACGATCCAAGACCGAATCAACGCTGCCATGAGCGCGTTGGAGTGGCCTACGGATGCTGCAGTTGCGGGCGCAACTGGGGGAGCGGCAGCAGCAGCTGGTGTGCTAACCGCAGTTGATGAGGATGAAGAAGGAGCAGAAGAAGCACCGGTGCCCAATGAGTTCGATTACTATTCTGATAATGCGGAAGAATAAAAGTGTTGTTCGTTGAGAACATTGCAAGACTGGGGGGATTCTGGCGGTGAAATACTCCACAACCCCCGCATGATTTAGCATCTCCACCTCATCTTCACTGAACCCCCCTTTTTTGTGGGAGCGGGCTTTCCTTTCTCTTCTTTTATGTAGAAGGGAGGGGGGCGTCGCCTGGTTAATCTCTCCAGTTCGCATATCACATGTATTTCTACACGAGTTTTAGAATCGTCTACACAGGTTTTGTTTTTGTGTTCTTTCTCCTTTATTGACCTTTTTATAGACACATTAGTTCTGGTTTGGTCCTTCAATGTTGAGCTTCATTATTCTCCACTGCCCCACGAAACAGGCATTTACAATCCGATTCTTTCGGGTAGTTTGTAGCCGACAACAACCCGAACATCAAATCCCTCATCCCTGACCTGACTCCAAGTCCCGGCTCCCGATTCTGCTTCCGGCCAAGGTTTCACATGGAATGTGGTTTGAGTCACGTGATATAGCCACTCGAGCTAAACTTAGTTTCAACCTCCATGGAGCCTCGGCATTTACCATATCCGGAATAGCGCCTTGGCTTTTGCCGTCGAGCTGGCGATGCACGTCACGGGACGCGATCATCACCTTCCAGGCCAATAGGAGCGTAGCTTACCAATGCTTAATCAGCCCGCTCCCGTCTCCAAGCACAGTGAACGATCTGTGCAGAGGTTCGAGATAGAAGCGATCATACATGCGTGGAAAAGAGCATGCGACGTTGGCATAAGGCACCTGGCAGAGAGATGGAGCCGAGCGGGAGGCATTTACGTCCTAGGGAGACGCTTGTGTAGGATAACTTACTCATCTGCGTATTTTGTCTGGCGAGATAGTTAACTGGTAGCTCTGACATGTGAAACTGGGACCATGTGCTTCTGCCGGCGGGAGGCGCAGAGATGAAGGGATCGAAGCAAAGAGAGAAGGGAGGGCCACACAGCAAGTACCGTGTCAGCTGTGTTAATTGTCATTGTGGGGCGAGTGTTTTTTTATTTTATTTTATTTATTTTTTTGTTCGAATGCCAAATTAAAACGCATGCCGTCTCATGTAGTTACCCTAAATGCGTAATTGTAAGTATGAGGGATGATATGAGGGCAAATTTCCCCGGGTTCCGTTGCCCCCAGTTTCTTTCATATATCTATGTCCTTCCAGCCAACTATCTCCCGCTTCGCTAGATTTTCTGAATTTCGATTACTGTATTCTATTCTGTTCTTTTAATTCAACCTTTTATCACTGTGTATTATTATTGCCCTCGATCTTGTTGGTAACTAGCCTATTGAGCGCCGAAAAACATGTCCGGAATCTTCTCAAAAGACGCCGTTGCGTCTCACAACAAGTCAGACAGCCTCTGGGTTGTCATTGACGAGGATGTCTACGATCTCACCAAATTCCAGGACGAGCATCCTGGCGGTAAAAAGAGTATGCAGCATTTTTTGCACTTATTTCTTGGGACCTTTGTCGCTCTGCTCACTTTCTCGTTACAATGAAAAAAGCTAACTTTATTTGTTGTCACTTTCAGTCCTGCAGCGAGTTGCTGGAAAGGATGCCTCGAAACAGTTCTGGAAATACCACAATGCGGGTGTGTTGAAGAAATACAGCGCACAGCTCAAGGTTGGATCATTAGATTCGAAGAAAGTTGCTGCTGCACCACAGTCTCCTCCGTCGCCCCTCGCCACGCCTCCAACGGTGGCTTCTTCCGCATTGGAAAATACAGTCGCATCCAGAACCACTGCGCCTTCTCATGCTTTAGACCCTTACGGTGATTTGGTGCCATTTGCGGATCCAGCATGGTATCAAGGGGTACGTTGTTTTGGTTTCACCTTTCTTTCCGTGTCGTTAGAACGGAAAAATCCAACAATCGTAATGCAAAAACTAGGCTAACACGGGGGCCTACCCTGTTTCTCTGTCACAGTACCACTCCGTATACTACAACGAGACTCACGAAGCTCTCCGCGACGAGGTTCGCAATTGGGTAGAGTCCGAGATCGAGCCGTATGTTCAGGAATGGGACGAGGCTAGGGCTATTCCCGAAGACCTATACAAGCAGATGGGTGAGCGAGGATACCTTGCGGGACTGATGGGTGTGGCATATAATCCAGCCCTGTCCAAGAACAAAGTCAAGTCCGTCCCGCCCGAGAAGTGGGATTTCTTCCACGAATTCATTGTCACCGATGAGCTCTCGCGAGCCGCTAGCGGTGGTCTCGTATGGAATCTCATTGGAGGGTTTGGTATCGGATGTCCTCCTGTCATGAAGTACGGAAAGAAGGAGCTAATTGACCGTATTGTCCCCGGTATATTGGCTGGTGAGAAACGTATCTGTCTTGCCATTACTGAGCCAGATGCTGGAAGCGATGTCTCCAACATCACCTGTGAAGCTAAGTTGACTCCTGATGGGAAGCACTATATTGTCAACGGTGAGAAGAAGTGGATTACCAATGGTATATGGTCCGAGTATTTCACCACGGCGGTACGGACTGGCGAAGCTGGCATGAATGGTATCAGCGTTTTGCTCATCGAGCGGTCGGCTGGAGGTGTTAAAACCCGCAAGATGGATTGTCAGGGTATGTCGACTAGCGGCACCACTTACGTCACTTTCGAGGACGTCAAAGTGCCCGTTGAAAACTTGATTGGCAAGGAGAACCAGGGCTTCAAGGGTATGTAACTCAAATTTTGCCTGTGTTGTAAAACCTCTTCTGAACCCAGTTCTAACCTGGCATGTCCTTACCAGTTATCATGATGAACTTCAACCACGAACGCATTGGCATAATAATCCAATGCGTCCGCTTTTCCCGCGTCTGCTACGAGGAATCCGTCAAATACGCCCACAAGCGTCGCACCTTCGGCAAGCGCCTCATCGACCACCCAGTCATTCGCATGAAGCTCGCACACATGGCGCGCCAAATTGAGGCATCGCACAACTGGCTTGAGAATATCATCTACCAATGCCAGTCCATGGACGATACTGAAGCCGCGTTCCGTCTGGGCGGTGCCATTGCGGGCCTCAAAGCGCAGTCTACAACGACGTTTGAATTCTGTGCGCGTGAGGCGAGTCAGATTTTTGGTGGCTTAAGTTATACACGCGGCGGCCAGGGAGGAAAGATTGAGCGGCTCTATCGGGATGTGCGTGCCTATGCGATTCCGGGCGGGAGTGAGGAGATTATGTTGGATCTCAGCATGAGGCAGAGCTTGAAGGTGCATCAATTCTTTGGGATGAAGCTGTAGATTGAAGGTCTGCATTTGCATTTGCATGTTCTCTTTTTGTTGCTTTTTCTATCCATGCCATCTCCATTTCATTTCACGTACGCCCTTTCCAGATAATATTACATATATTTTCTTTGGAGATACAAGTAGACATGCCATGCCATGATTATGCTGCAGTTTTTCGAGGTACATCTCTGAGTTTGTTTAGTGAAATACCCCTTCCTGTCCTCTGTCATTCCCTTGTATATTAGATATTCACTTCTGATATTCATCCCTGGCCTTTAGGATAAATTTTCATATCTCGGCGGGGTGCTTTCGTCCATTAAATGAGGAAATCAGGTGGGTCATCCCGTTTGTTCAGGAGCTTCTCCTCGTCCCTTGAATGGAAATGTATTAGTGGCTGTTTGGCTGTTGTTGTATTCAACTTCCTGTATCTTTTGGATGAATATTGGATAGTAGCAGTGGAATTGTTTGGACTCAAGAATTTATATAATGTATGCTAAGATTTCAACTTATCCCCGACTTGAAGATATGTTGAAAAATGGACCCTTTTTTGAGAGCATTCATATCACGTGATATGAACACGCTAACCCTTACTCAGCTAGTTGTGAGATACGGTTGTCCACTGACACCATGCATGCGTTTATCTGAGCGTCCAAAGAATCTCTCGACTTCCGCTCAGCTTGTTCATGTCTACTTCACCACCACCCATTCACACCAGCCATCTGTGAAGAAGTGCACAAACTAGCCCTCGATTTTGGCACCCATCCAAAGCCATCGATACCACCTGACAAATTCTCGCGCGCAACGCAACCTTGCAAGAGATAACACAGTGTGCGGTACGACTTTTGCGTCTTGGGTCATTGCAGCAGTCAGCTTCAAAGCCCGCTTGAGCTTCCGGGGCGAAATCTCTTTGATAGACGAAAGATACAGGTTTTGAAAGACGGGACGGGGTGACCGCAACTACTGGCTACTCCTTTATGTTTTACCACCCTTCCGAAACGATACGGGCTTGGGTTATCGACTTTCATCCCACCTCGTTTGACAATCTCGCTGCAGTTCCCTATCTTCCTCTACTTAGCTCCTAGCTCTCAACCTCTTGAAACAGAGACATACCCTCACGTGTGTCATCATTTCTTCCAGTTTGCTATCACACCCTCTGACGAAGAAAGAAGCCTTGAGTTATCAAAAGAATTTATCTGCGCCACACGCATCTACATAATGTCGAATAACCCCAGTGGGTTTCTGAACCAGGACTTCGGGTCGGAGGAGGAAGATGATGACTTCAATCCTGCCCCCGTCAATGATTCCGATGATGAGAAGCCGAAAAAACGGGAGGCGACTACGTACGATGACATTGCAGGGAATGATAAGAATGGTATAGGTGCAACCGGTGATGAGGAAGATGAGGAAGACAAGCATCCGCGGAGGAAAGAGAAGGTCAGGAATAGTGATAATGGAGAAGAAGAGGACTATGGGGATGGAGGTGGGGGTGATGGTGACGAAGAAGAGGAGGAAGAGGAAGAAGACGAAGAGGATGATGATGACGATGAGGAGGCCGTTTCGGTAAGTCGGATTATCGCTCTGGTCTTACCTCCGGAGTGTGATGTAAAAGGTAAATGCGGTATTGGATGTGGTTTCTGATGCAGCTTAATCTAGGGTCGGCCCCGGAAGCGTAGACGGGGTGGGATCAATAACTTCTTCGAGATGGAGGCCGAAGTCGATGAGGAAGATGATGCTGAAGAAGATGAAGAGGAGATGGCCGATGGATTCGTTGCGGAGACTCACCCTGATGACCTTGACGCTTTGCCCGTGGGCGCAGAGACTGATGACCGAAGACATCGCGAACTTGATAGGAAGAGGGACCTGGAAGCGACGATGGATGCTGAGAAACAGGCACAGGCTCTCAAGGAACGATATGGCCGGAACCGAGCTGCTGCGGCGGACCTGGTCGTTGTTCCCAAGAGACTGCTACTCCCTAGCGTTGACGACCCGAGTATATGGGCAGTCAAATGTCGTCCTGGAAAGGAAAGAGAAGTTGTTTTCAACATTATGAAGAGAATCGAGGATAGGCCGCCGGGCTCTAGGAGACCGATTCGGATCATGTCTGCGTTTGAGCGGGGAGGTACTATGAGTGGATACATCTATGTGGAAGCCCGGAGGCAGGCTGATGTCATTGATGCCTTGGAAGACATGTCGAACGTATACACCAAGTCAAAAATGATTTTGATCTCCGTCAAGGAAATGCCTGATCTTCTCAGAGTTACCAAGTCAGAAGAATTGGTCCCCGGTGGTTGGGTCCGTATCAAGCGTGGCAAGTACCAGGGCGACCTGGCGCAACTTGAAGATGTCGAGACGAACGGGCTGGACGTCACTGTTAGGCTTGTTCCTCGCCTGGACTACGGCTTAAACGAGGATATGAGTGCCCCCAACGGGGATGCGAAACGAAAGAGACCTGGTGTTAACAATGCTATTGCTCGTCCGCCCCAGCGGCCGTTTAGTGAAACTGAGGCTAAGAAAAAGCATGCTAAGTATCTGAGCGCTACATCTGGACTTGGCGGGAAGACTTGGAATTATCTGGGAGATAATTACGTTGACGGATTCCTCATTAAAGATATGAAAGTTCAACATCTTATTACGAAAAATGTCAACCCGCAGCTGGACGAGGTCACCAAATTTGCTCGTGGCGCTGATGATGGCACAGCGAATCTTGACCTTGCTGCACTGGCGGCCAGTCTTAAAGATACCACGAGTGAAGATTCCTATTTGCCTGGAGATACCGTTGAGGTTTTCCAAGGCGAACAACAAGGGGTTGTTGGTAGAACAGTTTCTACTCGTGGGGATATCGTTTCCATTAAGGTCACAGAGGGTGAACTTGAAGGACAGCAGATCGATGTACCTATCAAGGGGTTGAGAAAGCGTTTCAAAGAGGGTGATCATGTTAAGGTCATTGGCGGCAGTCGATTCCGCGATGAGCTGGGCATGGTGGTTCGCATCAAGGATGATCGTGTCACCTTGTTGAGCGACATGAATATGCAGGAAATTACAGTGTTCAGTAAAGATATTCGAGAAGCTGCAGATGCTGGTGTTGACGGGAAGCTTGGAATGTATGACGTTCATGATCTTGTGCAGCTTGAGTAAGTTCCTTTTCCCAATAATCACCCTTGATATGTGATTACCCCAAGAGAATACATGGTTATTAATAATTCTTGTAGCCAAGCCACCGTAGGTTGTATCATCAAGCTTGACCGGGAGTCGATGCGTGTCCTTGATCAAAACGGATCTATCCGAAACGTGCTGCCATCGCAAGTCATGAATAAAATTAATCAACGTCGCAACGCCGTCTCAACTGATCGAAACGGCTCAGAAATCAGATGCGGCGACACAGTCCGTGAAATTACCGGAGAGCAACGAACAGGAGTTATACTACATATCCACCGGTCATTCCTATTTCTGAATAATCGAGATGCAATTGACAACGCGGGCATTATCGTTACGCGTGCCTCGAATGTTAACACAATAGCGACGAGTGGTGGAAGATTAGGTAGTCGATCGGCTCCTGATTTCTCCAGAATGAACCCGGCTCTACAGAAAAATGGAATAAATGGCAATGGGATGCCTCCCCCCAAGTCATTTGGTAGCGATCGAGCTATTGGCAAGACCGTGACTATTCGGAGGGGTCCATTCAAGGGACTTCTCGGCATTGTTAAGGATACCACTGAAACCCAGGCGCGGGTCGAGCTGCATTCAAAGAATAAGGTCGTTACGGTTGACAAGGATATGCTCTCCATGAAAGAGTACGTCAACATCCAACGTTCCATTCATGCTGGATTTTGTTTTATACTGACTATTTAACGTAGTCCAATCACTGGTGCTTCGATTGATATGTCTCGATTTGGTGGCAGAGGCGGTGGCAGAGCCGGACGAGGTAGTAGCACCTACAATGCCTCTGCTGCCCCTCCGGACTGGGCAGGAAGTCGGACACCCATGGCTGCAAACGACTCCTCGCGCACTCCTGCGTGGCGCTCTTCATCGTCACGAAGTAAGTTTTCATTGTTCCCACCTCATATTAACTATGAAACAAACCTCTGCAGTTATTGACAAACACCATAGCACCGGCCTGGAATGCAGCAGCAGCAAGTAGCTCTCGCACCCCGGCATGGAAAGCAGATGGCTCCCGAACCTCAAATCCCTACGACGGCAACCGAACCGCATATGGCGGTGGGACGTTTAGTGGAAGCCGTACTCCTGCCTGGACCGCCGGCACCAAGACACCATATGACTCCAGCTCTGGCTTTGGTGTCTCCTCAAACTCCGGCTTCGATGCTTTTGCGGCCGGCTCTCGAACACCAGCGTATCCCGGTGGCACAGGTTCGCGTACCCCCGCCTGGGGTCCTGGATCGGCAGCCCCCCCACCTGTTGGGCAGAGCGGAGGAAGCAAAAGCAGTTACGATGCACCTACCCCTGGCGGTGACTACACTGCACCCACACCTGGCCCCTACGGCGCTGCTCTTACACCTGGTGCCACTGCTGCGACACCACGGGCCTGGGCTGACAACGCCCCCACACCTGGGGCCATGCATGCTCCAACACCAGATGCCTTGGGATATTCTGGCAAGAGATCGGGGGAGCCGTACGATGCTCCAACGCCTGCCGATATGTCTATGAGCGGTGGGAGACCGTATGATGCTCCTACTCCCGCAACTGGCATGGGCATTCCGGCGACGCCTGGTGCGGGTGATGACGGCGACCCTAGGTATGAAGAGGGGACGCCAAGTCCATGATTATCTCCACGTGATGGACGCTTGTTAAAAGATTTAATTTTAAAGTTTTCTTTTTTTAATTATGGGTGAGTGTGAGACCAGTTGGGTTTTGAATCCTTCTCCGTTCATAAGACATAAGGATAGTGTATGTTTTCTCTAAACTTCTCTCTGTTTCTTCTTGACTACATAGCGTGGAGCCAGGGTATTAAAATCTTCTCGCCTCTTCTTCAGCACTTTTTTCTGGCGTTTTGCCTTACCCAGTTTATTTTCGCTTTTGTCTGTGGGCAGAGAATGACAGCCAATGTTAAAACATCACAACATTCGAACTGTTGGTTTTGCTTAAGCTTTCCAAAGCAAAAGCAACAAAATGAAGCAACAAAAATTGACCCAAGTTTAAGTCTTATGAATTCATTCATACGTTGTTCAACTACCTACCATCTCTTTTGATGAGTACTCCGTAGAGTGGATGAAATTGGTGGAATGAGCTTTTATTTAAGCAGCTTTGTTTGCTCTGTTTGCCTCGATAAGCATCGATGTTAGTTAGTTTGCCCCACTCAAGTTAAACCAAAGCTCGACAAGCATCGAACTCCGTCGAAAGAACATCGAATACCAGTAATTCTGCGGAAGCAACTGTTGGAGAAGACACTGTATACATAGAACCGACATGCGCTAATACTCTTCTTTCCCCTCTTTTCCTCCTTTCCACCTCTATTTGTTGAATGAATCCCTGTTGACTGCCCCACCTAGCGGCATCGAATCCCTGCCCGGACTATATATGCAAGCTTACTTCCAACTATAACCAATTGTCCAAAGCCTCCCAAAGCAGCACAGACCGAGACCAGAAAAGAGCTTCATTATAGACGAAATTAAAACTGAAATTGTCACCGTCAACACAAATTGTAAAGAATGTCAAGTACCGAAACAGGTCCCGGGAAGGAAGCGATCGCAGAACGTGAGCGCCAGGATCGTGAACACAGGGAAAAAGAGGCAGCGGAGCAAGCCACGCTGCCGTATAAGTGGACGCAGACGATTAAAGATGCAGACGTGACCATTCCCGTGGATGCCAACATCAAAGGAAAGGATTTACGGGTTGAGTTAACCAAGGCTAAGATTTTCGTGGGGATCAAGGGCGGAGAGACGTTTATTGATGTATGCAATCCTTGGATTTCATCTATATTGATATGGATCTGTAGAATAAGATACCAAAACCCATGACGTTTCTTTCTAACTTTTCCCTTCTCCTTAAGGGTGCATTTCCACAACCCATCCATGTCGACGAGTCAACCTGGACCCTCGAAACCACATCCAAACCTCCCGGGAAAGAGATATCCATACATCTCGATAAAGTCAACAAGATGGAGTGGTGGCCGCACATCGTCACGTCAGCACCACCCATCGATGTGTCGAAGATCACGCCTGAGAATTCAAAGCTGGCTGACTTAGATGGAGCGACGAGGAGTATGGTGGAGAAGATGATGTATGATCAGCGGCAGAAGGAGTTGGGTTTGCCAACGAGCGATGAGGAGAAGAAAATGGACCTATTGAAGAAGTTTCAGCAGCAGCACCCTGGTGAGTTTGCCTTTGCTGTTTCTCTCTACTTCTTATCCCTTTGGGGAGGTCATAAGGTTTGCTAATGATATTTCTTCTTGTGGTGTAGAAATGGACTTTTCCAATGCAAAGATTGGCTGAATGTCATTGTCTCATCGAATGGTAGAAATTTGCGTGGTGGATTTGAAGGGAAGGGAAACAAAAAGAAATCATTGTGTTGAATTTCCTGGGTTAGGTGGAAAAGTTGGGCGAGAAGCTGTAAATGAGTACGAACGAAAATATAATCCGCAGATACTGTATTGTTTTACCGCAAACGTGGGTTGCTGTGAGGCATTTAAGATATAACCATGAAATGATTTTTGTATAATTGATTGAAATCCTATAAAGATTGTGCTACACAAGAAACACACGGAATACCAAGGGAGATGGATCCGCGGGACCACTTGATAACCAGCGTATATGTACCGATAGCCTGCATGCAAATGCGTTACTCATGCTTACAATGATAGAGGAAAATAGTTTATAATACACAAGGTTGGTGGTATCTAATCCAGTAATGCAAGTATTTGGTGGAGGCGTAGAACAGACGAAATGATAGTCAAAAACACATATCCAACAACTGATCAGCCAAGAAGAGAAGGAAAGGGACCTGCAGAAAAATCATCCAATTTTCCCAGCAGAATGCTTCCACTCACGAACGCTCTACTCTCCCTTGCCCCTTAGTGATAAATGATAAGTCCGCAGGGAGTCTTCCGTTATTTCACTGGGACATTTCACCAACAAATCCTCTCCCTTCCCAGACTTCGGAAAAGCAATGACGTCCCTTACACTCTCTCTACCCAACATGACCGCTACCAGCCTGTCAAAGCCCAGCGCAATGCCAGCATGCGGCGGACACCCGGCCCTTAGTGCCTCAAGCAAGTGCGCAAAGTCAGCAAGCCTCTCAACTGGCATTTTGAGAATGTCGCGCAGTATAAAATCCTGGACGGCTGCTGAATGGATACGTCGACTCCCACCGCCCAGTTCAACACCGTTCAGGACCAGATCGTAGTGATCCGCGACAACCTTTGTCGGATCCGTCAGAAGAAGGGAGATATCTGATTCGTGAAGTGGAGCTGTAAACGGGTGGTGCGTGGATGTGATTCCTGCCGCACCTCCTTGGCCTGGCTCGGAGTCGCTGACGGGGGAGAAGAGGGGGAAACCTGTGACCCAGAGGAAGTGGAAGCCCGTAGGAGCGGGTGTAAAGTTGGCTTCCACGGCTGCTCTATGGATTTCTCGACGGAGGTTACCTAGCGGAGTCGAGCTTCCAGAGAACGGAGCGTTATTGCGCGCCTGTATTAGTAGTAGATCTCCATCCTTCAAGTTCAGTTCTTGCTCCAGAACCCATGTTGCCTCGAATCCAAAGGGTTGGAGTCCTGAGAGGGGTTTTCTGGAGTCGTAAACGAAGGCGCCCGGCCCACCTTCAGGGTTGTTGTGAAACCAACTTGAGGTCGGGGAGTCCATGAATGAGGTGAGGAACTTGCGCATTTCATCTGAATCTCCATTTCCTTCTAGTTTCATGGCTTCGACGATGGGGTTGTTTAATGGGCTAATTTTACTGACGAGGTCAACGGGAATCATGTGCTCGATTCGCTTAATCTCCATACCAATTCGCACGTCTGGCTTGTCTGATCCGTATTTGGCCATGGCATTCTCATACGTGGTCCTAGGGAAGCTTTCAGGGGTGAGCGGTGCCCGCATCAGTGTAGACCATAGTCTCTTCATAGCGGCTTCAATTATTTTCATTACATCTTCCCCAGTTGCAAATGACATTTCCAAATCGAGCTATTGACATTTGTTAGTAGCGCGACAGATTTATCCGAAGCTGCCGAAGGCCAAGGTTGCGTACTTGTGTAAATTCCGGCTGTCTATCCGCTCTTAAATCCTCATCTCTAAAACAACGTGCAAATTGGTAGTACCTGTGAATACCGCTAGCCATAAGTATCTGTTTGTATTGTTGCGGGCTCTGTGGGAGTGCGTATGCGAGCCCACGTCTTCTAGTGGGAACTAAAAACTCCCTTGCACCTTCAGGGGTAGATTTGAAGAGAAGAGGCGTTTCAATTTCTAGGAAGGGGGGCTGGAAGTCCTCTAATGTCTCACGTAGAACATTTCTAGCTCTCGCACGGAATTGTAGTGCACCACGAAGATTGCTGTCTGCTCGAATCTGCAAATGTCTCTTTTCTGCCGGGAAAATTGTTTCAGAGGTCATGATAATGTCTTTAGGGAACTCATTAAGACAGTATATATCTTCGAGAGCTATCTCTATACTATCAACGTTTGAATTATCCCGCTCTCCAGCTGCTTTTTCCTTCGAGTTAGCTTGTTTCTGTTGTACAATTCCTTGCACAACAACGGAACTGTTTGCTTCGATGGATTTCAGCTTCTCAAAGGATTTATTTTTCGCAAAAGCTATGACCTGAACATTCTGTGACAAGGTCGGATCTGTTAGGCGAACAAAAGCCATCTTCTTTCCAATATCGACACGTTTTCCTAGATAGCCATGAAGCACGACATGCTTCCCCAAAACAGGTTGATCTATCAGTGATTTAATGTCGACTGTGGCGGCGGGGAATCTGACTAAACAAAGAGAATACTGAATTAATCAAATACTCGTAAACAAACGGGGAGAATCTCATAACTGAATTTGGAGTTGTCACACTAGATTGTTTGTACTCGTTGAGATACGGGTGAGATGGAGCAGTAACAGGAGATCCTAGCTGCCGCGACAGGCCTGTGAAATGAAAACTTCGGACATGTCCAGCAACACACCCTGGGCTTCGAGGATATGCGATTCGAATTCCTCGTATATAGTTTGGTATCTCAATGTAGCTATGGCGTCCTAAAGATGCCATACAGCGGATCCGCGACGAAAGATGGGCAGGAAGCATCACGGCGAGGCACAGGCAATTGGGTCCAACATAAAGGGATGGATCTAATTGCACCAAATTTGGCCCTGCTTTGGTCGTTGAAATAAAAAAGGGGGGGGGGAGAGTATTGGTCAATTTCATTCACATATCCACCAGGATTTGTTCCTTTTCCGCCTTTTTTTGTCCTCACTTGATATATTGAATTCCAAGCCCGGTTGACGGTTGCGCCGAAAATGTTTGACAGGTGTGCAAACATTGGATCTGCCAAGACTTCATCCACAACACGAAAAAAATCTCGAGAGCTTCAACCATTCGTTTTCTCTTTTTCTTTTTTTTCCCTTTCTCCATCCTTCCAAGTTTTGAACAAGTGAGTCTGCCGAACCTGGACATCCTTTGAATAGCTGAATTTGCGGGAGCCACCTATAGGTATATGAATGCTAACATGCTATGTTTTTGCAGATGATGAAAGCCTAGCGTGTTCCATATGAAAAACGTGCTCTCCTCCCCTCTGGCCAGTATAGCTCTCCATTCCTTCCGGGATGGCTTAAGTGGCTTACTGGTTGAAGGCTGGATGGGGAGATGATATCAGCGTTCGGCACATCCTCCTTGTTACTTTGCGGACGCGATGGAAAAGGCATCTCTGATCAACATTTCTTGGAAGGGAACTTGTCTCTCTATTTTCCCTCTTACCTTTACTTTCACTCCTGGCCTATTAATCGAAAGCCCTTTTCCTTTCCCCACTTCGATACCGTGATTCTGCGCTTTGGCAATTGCTTTCCTTCGGTATTGGTCAATGAAAGTGGTCTATGCAGTGTTGCGCGATATCTCTTCCATCTCCTAATTTTTATTTTCTTTTCGATTTTTTGCTACAGGAGAGGCTATTCGCTAGCATCTATGAAGTCGATGAAATTCTTAAACATTTACATTCTTTATCCCAACGAAATCTCTCTGCTCTAGGAGTTCAGACAAAAAAGCAAGTGACATTTTCATCAAACGTGATGCTTTAGAACCCTAACAGAGCCAACTTTTCGTACGTATTATCCCCATTTCAGTAAGGAGAGGAGGGGGGGTTTCAGGAAATCATGGAACGACAGTAAAAGCTGAGAACGCTTCCATTCTTTACACAGGGAAATTACTTCGTTCAATTGGCAGATTTTCACAGCAGTGAATGTAAAATCCAGGTTGGTGTCCGATTCAGGTGACTTTGCGGCATTTTGGAATTGTCAACTCATCCTTAGTCCAAGTAACTCAATGGACGGATAGTTAAGACTTACTGGCGTTGGGGCCCTTTTTGCCAGGGAGTCTAACAGTGGCTTGGTCAACCTCATTTCACACAACTAGCTATTACACGCAATCATCCCTGGATACCTCACTGCAGATCGCCTTTGCTACAAATGTGCGTGTGAAACATGGCAGGCATTCCAGGCATCTGCGCAAGGACTTCAAGAAGTAAATCGTGTGACATATATTCACAGTATATCCCCAACAGTTAAGTTCATGACGTTTAAAGGCGCATGGATAAGTGCACTGCCTCATTGAAAATGCAAAGGCTAACCCGAATAGCTCCATGAAACAGCCCCATGCATTTCCCTTGCCATTCAATCGATGTGGATTTTCATCCCACAGAGCCATACCAGAATGGATGCTTCCCTGCATTTGACATGACTCCCAGAATTGTCGAGTCAACTGCCTACGAATAGTAGAAAGGATTGCAAATCCTTCTATCAAGTGTCTTCTTTCACATTCCATTCCCCCCCTTTGGACTGTTTAAGGACACACTATGTTTTAGTACTAATATTAATATCACTTGGCATCTAGTTGCCATTCTCCAATTATCAATATCTTCTCCATCTTCTTTTATTCCATTCAATATCCTAAATTCTTCAGCCTTCGCTTCGAAACTAATTATGTCGGACTCTGCGGATGCCAGAGCACTTACGCTCCGTAATCTTCACGTTCCTGGCAACCCACTTGTCCTTGCAAACATCTACGACCCTACCACAGCAGAGTTTGTTGCTTCACACTCTTCATCCACAGCCCTTGCAACTACGAGTTATTCCATAGCGAAGGTGCATGGCTTTGAAGACGATTTCCTAGATTTGGACACGAATCTGAACGCCATAAGGCGAATTGCTCCAATTGCACTAAACTACAACAAACCCTTAACTGTTGACATGCAAGATGGGTACGGAGTGTCTAGAGGAGGCGATTCATGCCATCATCAAGGACGGCGTTTCCGGCTGTAATCTTGCGGACCGCAGCAACAAGACAGGCGAGCTGATGCCATTTGAAATAGCTGTTGATCGAGTCCGTCGTGTGATTGTTGCTGCTGCGGAAGCTGGCGTTCCCAATTTCGTTCTGAATGCCCGGACTGATGCTATTGTTATTAACAACGATGTGGACGAGGCAATTCGACGGGGTAAGGCGTTCTTGGAAGCTGGTGCCACGACAGCCTTCGTCTGGGGAGGGGCAAAGCGTGGTGGTTTGACTAGGGATGAGGTAGTCAGGATTTCAGATCAGCTGGACGGGCGCCTTGATGTTATCGCTTTGCAACGTGGGTTAAGTGTGCAGGAGTTGGCAGACATTGGCGTAGCGAGAATCAGTGTAGAGTCACGGCTGTGGATCTCCGCGTATGCCGCGTTTCTGGAGGCTGCGAAGGGCTTGCTTGGAGAATATGAGGCAATGAAGGCGTCGAGGAAGTAGGAATATCAAGTGGCTTTATGGTTAATATTTAGGGTAATCGATTTCATCTTAAGAAGTGTATCGCATGTGTTTACCACAGATCATTATTCGAGATGTTTGAATCGTAAAGTATTATATTATCCTCTTCTCCAACGTTATGATAGAATTCTCATACCATGGCGTTTCTGCGCGCTTGATGTACACACGTTGGCCCACCGCTATACGGGAGTGCATTTTATGTCACAATATTATACCAAGATATAGTTACTTATTTTACCCAAAGATTGCAAATATTGCAAAATAACGAAATGAAATAAATAAATAAATAAATAAATAATAACATGCTCCGTAAAATCTTATACGATGTTCCCACAATAAATGGCCATTCCGCTCCGTGCTCTACCCAACACCATGATTCGGGGGTTCTGGAGAACTCTGCTGTAACTATGCAGGTATGGCAGCCGACGTTTTCCTCCCCTCCTCCATTGTCCTTGGGAAACATCTTACAGTAGTCTCTTGGACCACCGTTATTTCCTTTCAAGGCTTATGCTCCCTGAGCTAAGGATACACTCATCGCTCTCCCAGGCCGTAGTGTCAGGGACCGAGTGTGGATGCAAGGCCTTTTTGCGTGGCTCGCGAGCGGGTTTGTGTTTATACATTGTTAAAGAATAAGACCTTGCGAACCAGCCTATAAGCTAAAGCTGGTAACCGGCAACCCTTTTGACAAATTCAATGAATTGGAGTCCAGAGCAGCCCGTTCCTAGAAGAGGGACAGAGCTCGCTGGCTCCTTGTTTGTCCATAAGACAGCTTCTGCATCGCATCAATCATCGCCGTCGTCGGACCAAAGTAACTAGAAATCGGAAAAACTAAACCTGACGTCCTCCTTGAAACTTTAAGATCATCGGCCTGGCATTGTGTGATCAACAGTTGTTTAGCGCCATCTGGGAGAATGAGTGGCGGTGTGATTTGTCTGTTCAGCAAATGCAGTTAAAAAATTGGGAGCAATCGAAGCGGACATGCCAATCCAGCGCGACTCCAATTATCATGAGTTTTGCGCTGGCCTTCATTAATGTGCCCTTGGTAACTTTGCTCAAACCAGGACGATATGCGGATTGGAATTGACCACGAACGAAGTCCCATGCAAGGTAATAGACGAGCAGGGCAAAAACCGGAGGCAACAAGGGATCAACAATGAAGTGCTGATTGATCATCAGTATCTAGCTCAATACTTGTTTCCATCCTGCAGGTAACAGGGGAAATAACCGGGGGGAAGGGGGGGGCTGACCTGAAGATACTGATAATCGAAGCTATATCCATGTACAGTACAAATGCATTTAATCACTTTCTTTTTGGATGATTGGCGTCGCCAACTGATCTCGAATTCAATCATCATTGGCTCTTTTTAACCACCAGGTCGTTATTAAAGAACCTCACTCCGTGACGAAGCAGATAAGTCCGCGGCGTTTTCAATTAAGGTCAGGCCAGTTAAGCAGGGTTTTATCAAGCTTAACTACCCCAGAAATAACTAAATTAGTTAACTAGTTGTCAGAACCAGGAGGTGATGAATCTCTTCATCTGAGATCTAACACGATCAAAACCCTTGAGTGCAAGCACATATGACATCTGGATTTGGATGTCCCAATCGTGCACCCTTGTGACTATGCAGTTATCCAGTTTCAGCAATCAGTTAGTCGATGGTTCTCCAGTCCCGATCTACAAAGTGTAAATGCATTGCACACAAACCCCCGGTATTCCCGTAAGAGCAGATCTTTGAATTCGTCAGTAATCAACAACTAATGTCTCCTTATTAACAAAGCTCAGAGGTCTTTGAACACAAAATTTCGAAGATAGCATGTCATGATGTTTACACAGTATTAGCAAGAAAAGGAAAAGACAGGGCAGAAATCGAATTCAGGGGTGTTTTCATTTGACTTCATCGGTTGTTGGAAGTAAGGTTACCCATCTCACTCAAGCGCAAGCCAGCGGTTGAATAATACGTGAGCTAGCAGGCAGCGCCGTTGCATATGGGTTTGCTGGAGCTCCTGAGGTGTCAGAAAGTCCTCCTGCTTTAAGCTGGCGACAACAAGGACAGAAATCTGCGCGTCGGTGGGAGGCGATGGTTAAACGTTCCAGAATAAGAATCTAAACTGGGCCCACAAAAGCCGCGCCCCAAGAGTATTGGGGCAATCGCGAGCTTGACTATTCTCTCAGACGCGGTGTTGGAGGCTCATCTAGTCATAACTTCGGCGTCTGTACACCTTTGGCGCCCGGGACGGATATGACGAGTGGACAAGGATCGTTGGTGATGATCCTTCTTCCTAGAAACACATCCAGGCTTGGTTGAAGAAACCAGAGACTTTCCATGACGAGCTTCCAGCGGCAGTTGATAAGAAATGTGTTGCCCCGAAAATTGGTAATCACTGTACATCGGGGCATCTTCACGTCGGGTTTGCTGACTCGCACCTCCTATTGACCTGTTCGAAGGCTGAGTTAAAATTAATCCAGACCACAACCCTGGCAATCGTATTGGGATGTCTGCGCTTATTAATTCGGCATCCGAAGGCTTGCGGTCGACCGCCAAAGATTTATTGAATTCTGTTACCACAAATCCTGGCAATAATCGCCAACTTACCTTTTCAGTGTGTCATCTCAGAAGGGAAGAGACTCATAGGTGAAGAGTCCAATAACAAGTGATGCAGGAAAATCGATTCCACATTTGCCTATCTGAACTGCTTAGCCCCCAAGGTAAGTTCTTAGCAGTCACTAAGTCCTGTTAGACTTTGCCACCAAAGAGATGATCCTCTCAACAGGCGGGTTGGACACGCCAAAGATTGTCACGCATCCAGGTATTGGCTCAAGGGAGCAGTTGGAAAATCCAACATCCCAATCGTGCGCGATGCCCCCACAATTGGTATAAGCCTCAGAGGCCAGTTCTCTGTTCTGCTCCAAACAAGGTGACTCCAACCAACAACAATCGTTGAGCTTTCAGTGGTAATAAAGAAGCCATGGACATAGCCACGGAACAATGGAAGCGCGATGGCACTGGTCCCTGGGCCAAATTCTCATGTGAATGCTGTATAGGCTTGTTCAAGCTTGACGAACTAACAAAAATGAAGGAGTTCCAAGATCTTCCTGCTGACGAGCAGGAGTATCTTAAAAAAGAAACAACACCACACTACAAGCTGCTGGCCCATTTACCTATGCATTGGTTCACTCCGTGATGCATTCCGCATTGCACACCATCCAGCTTATATCAAGGATAAGGTGGTGGGACTAGTAGTTTCCAAGTCCGACTATAACGAGGATTTGTTAGACTGCTGGAAGCAGAACATCTCCTCTAGGCGCGGTGAAGATGGGCAAGGCTGGAGATTCAGATACGGCTGCAGATGCCACTGTTGATAGCAGTTATTGCCTCATGGGTATGGACGGTCTCCGTGTGGAGGACATGAGTGTTATCCCTGTGCCGATTGGTGGTCACACCAGGCGGCAGCGTATGTTATAGGAGTGGCCTGTGGAGGAAAACTTGTCAAAGAGTATATTCTCGCCCTGAGAGGTTTGAGAAAGTCACAGAACGTTCATCAAACAAAGAAAATTGATATTATGGTGCAGAGTTTCATGAACCGAATTAAGAGCAACTTTTCAAAAGCTGCCCTGCATTTATCCCCATTCTTCTCCTCTCATCTGGTTAGCTTTTTGAGTCACCCCTTGATCAACAATCAAAAGGAGCTCAGATGGTGAATCGGATATATACTTTATCTTTTAACAATATATTTCGCAAATTCTATGAAGATAAAAATGGTAAAGTTCTTGTGCCGCTGTTGAAGAGCAAAGGAATGGAGAAGTGAACAATTTCGAAATATACATACTTACACTGGAAAAATATAAAGTCTGACACTGCTCTACCCAGAGCAACTTCTATGTCATTCATTCCCCTAGTATAATATTTTTCAAGGTCTCCCGCTCCCCGCTTTCTTCCACTAGTCCTCTGAAAACGCCATTATCAATGCGCATCAGATCATTTGGCGTCCCGAATTCTACCACCTTCCCTGCATCCATTACCAAGATACGGTCAAAATCCGCAATAGTGCTGAGCCTATGTGCGATAACAAGTAGTGTTGTTGAATTTCGTCCAAATTCGGAACGAATAGACCGTTGGATCAGCGCATCTGTTGCCATGTCAACTGCAGATGTAGCTTCATCCAAAACCATGATTTTCGGACGCGAAATGATGGCGCGGGCGAGGCAAAGAAGCTGCCTCTGACCCTGAGAGAGATTCAGCCCACCCCCGGATATGACGGAATGAAGGTTGGTGAATATGTTTGTATTGGATTTGAGACTAGCGGCCGAGCTGGACGTTACGCTGATTAATGTCGGGGTAGTCGACCCCGTTCCTGTTTGAGGACAGGATGTTGAAGATGGCGAACCCAAAGAAGAGGTAGCTGTTTCATCGATACAGCTCGGAACAAGGTGTACACGCTCTAGAACGTCATGTAGTTCAACATCGCTGAATTCTCCAAAGGGGTCAAGGTTGGACCTGATGGTCCCGGAAAACAAAACGGGATCTTGAGGTATGATGGCCAGACGGCTTCTGAGATCATGGAGCTTAATCTTAGATACGTCGATTCCGTCAACATGAATGGTCCCTTCACGAGCCTCCAGGAAACGGAATAAGGCGAGAGTCAGAGACGACTTTCCAGCCCCTGTACGGCCGACAACGCCAACACGTTGGTTTTTCTCCACCTTAAACGATAAGCCCTTGAGGACCGGTGGTAACTCGAGGGCATAGGCAACCACGAGATCGGACACTTCAAGTCGGCCTTCAGTGGGCCAGGCAGCAGGGACATCTAAACCATCTTGCGGCTCAATATCAATATTAGAGTATTCAATTACTCTCTCCATAGCGTTCATATCCAGTTCTATATTGGTATATTCACGCAACGCGTACGAAATTGCGTCGGTGTATTGCATAGCAAAGCTGAGAGCAAAGCCAGCTAAAGAGGCATCGATACCTGCGATGGATATGACAAGTGCAGCAGTGATGACGGCAAAAATTGCCCCGACAGTATACATACGGACACCAAGCCATCTGTTAAAAAGCCACAGGTGCCAGTATGCCTGTGCATGACGATCAATCTTCTTAAACATTCGGTCAATGTACGTTGGGACTTTCCCAAATGCGCGGATAGTCGTTAACCCAGTCAGAGCGGTCTCAAATTGTTCGTATACTGGACTTTTTACAGTACTCTCCAAACGCTTGATCTCTCGAGCACCAGTGAGGTAGTAAAGAGAATAGTACATGGAGATCCCAAGGAGCGCTGAAGCAAACAGGATAAGAATGGGAGAGACTAGAAACCCAGCGGCGATGATACCGACGACCTGGAGGACGTTGTAGAAAGCAGAACCGAAGTGATAACTCAGCCGAGAATCAATCATGTTGAAATCAGCCGTGAACCGGTTTAGGATCCGGCCAACAGGTACCGTATCAAGCCAACGAAGTGGGGCTCTTAGCACAGCATATGTTAGCTGATCAAATAGGTTTCGAGATGCGTGAATGGAGGCATGCAACAAGAAGGCGTATCTCAGAGGTCCTATGACACACGTTACAAGGGACATTGCAATATATATCCCCAAATAATACCAAATATTAGAACTTTGAGAAGCTGGATGACTCTTATTTACAATGTGCGCCATTACGGAGAGATTCTCTTCTGCGGTCGCATTGCTTGATGATCTAGTCCATATACTTACCCACCATGACTGTAAATGAATTAGTAAAGACAATTAAAATATGTAAAGTAATCATATGCGTGGGAGACTTCACATACACGTCCAACTGTATTTGCAATATAACATAGGTAGGCCATGGCAACAACAAACCAATACCAAATGCTTCCCCCACTTTTAAAGTATGTTTGATAGTTTGTCAGTTTAACAGAACCGGTTTCGCGCCATTCATCCTGCTGGAACTTGCCCGGCGATTTTTTGTTTTCAGTGGCAACATTGTTTGTCAGAGTGTTTGTATGCCCTTGGGATTCACGAGACAAGATTTCGTGTAAAGTACCTCCGTTCGTGTCAAGTCCGTCCATATCGTCCTCTGCCGCATCATTTCGTTCTGCGTCATTATTGACCTTGTCAGCCAGAATTTTTGTTAGTTCGCCAGTTCTCCTCAATTCCTCAACAGAGCCGGCATGTCCAACGGTCCCATCCTGGAGATAGACAGAGTAATCCGTCTGGCCTAGACACAACGCCACATGGTGAGTGACGAGAATCCGTGTCCTACCCTGACCAAGTTCTCCAGTAAGAGCATGTTCGTGGAGATGTCGACCAGTATGGGCATCTAATGCACTAAACAGATCATCCATGATAAGAATACCAGCGCGAGAATACAGGGCTCGTGCAAATGATATTCGCCATTTCTGGCCACCGCTAAGATTGATGCCATTGGCGCCGATATCCGTCAGTTCTCCGTCAGGAAGCATATGAAGATCATTCTCCAAAGCGCAAGCAAATAGCACTTTATGATATCTCTCCGAGTCAAATGGAAGTCCAAAGAGAATATTATCCTTGATGGTGGCATTTTCAATCCATGGTATTTGAGCCACAAAAGCAATTGCTGAGTCGATGGTCCAGTTGTCCCTATTTGCATGCTCATCAAATCTATCTTCAAGAGGTGGGGCTTGGGGAACACGAACGACGCCACTCAGTATATCAGATTCACCAAGGATAGACGCAAGAAGCAGACTTTTGCCAGAACCTGTCCTCCCGGAAATAACACTAAGGCCTTTGGACGGGAACTTGAGACAAATATTATGGATACTGAATCTGTCTTCAGCCTGATCGGGATCCTCAACGGGCCATGCAATAGTTGCATTTTCAAAAGAAATAGAATCTGCCTGCAGCGTATTGTGAATATTTTCAGCAGAACTCAAATGTTTTTCAATTCTTTCCGCGCTAACCCAGGCTTCGATGAAATCAGTTATTAGCTCTGGAAGAAGAGCAAGCGTTAGTTCCAGTGACGAGAAAATAGAAACAGTGGTAAAAGCAACCGATGCTGATAATTCGCCGTGAATGGAATAATATACTCCCAGAGACACGGCGGAGAGCATCACAGGTCCAAGAATCCAAATACCAATAAGAACGACATCATAACTGAACACTGTCCACTGGGCATTTAGCTCTGCTGCGCGTATCTCTCCAATTTTGTGTTGCCACTGATTCTCAAGTGCAGAAAATTTGACTTGACGGATTCCCTGAAGGACTTCAGTTACGACAGCCATTTTCTGGTCACGGAATTTCATCAAGGAAACTTGAGATGTAGTGTATCTGTTGGCAACAAAAATATTGACCGGAGTGATTATCACGGTAACTAAAAGACCTGAACAAAGACTCTTCCAACCAATTAGCATCCCCAAAATGGTGAAAGAGGTAGCCAGCTTAATAATAGTTGCAGGAATAAAATGGTTGTAAGCGGCAAAATCGGAAACACGCTTAGCATCAACGGCAACAAGATTGATGATGCCTTGATTGGTCGCCTGAGTATCATCTTCTTCGTCGTCGTCGTCGTCTTTCGTTAGCTGGATACCGGTCTGATCGGATGGTTGGTTGTCTCCGTGGGTCGACATTTGTGAGCCCTTAACATTCTTTCGGCGCATACATTTTGTGAATACAACGGCAGCAATCTGCTCATAGACTGCGATGCATAGCTTTGAAAAAGATATCCAGAAAAGCCAAGACTCAATTGTGGAATAAACTATCATTGAGATTCCCAGAACGAAGACCCATATCCATGCTTCTGAAGGATCCCATTCTCCACGACTTCGTGTCTCTAGCGAGCGAAGGATCTGAAGTAGGCACAGTTGGGGTCCGAAGCTCAGGAGAGAGGACAGGACAACCAAAACAAACTGAAGAAGAAGCGGCGATCTATATCGATATATCAACATTTTCCAGAGCCTTGGAGACTTGTGTTTTGTTTTATTGAATGATTCAAGGAGAGATGAAGCGCGACTTGGATAGTCTAAATCAGGAAGAAAATCGATTTCCAACTTTTTATTTTCCCGTATTTCCTTAAGCAATGGACTGGCCCAGCGGAAGGAGATACGCCCAAACCAAGATGTTGTATATTGAGCGTCTACAACTTTCCCACTTCTAAAAACATGCGGACGACGGGGAAGAAGTATTGAGTTGCATCCACAAATGATGGCAACCACTAATTGCACTAGGGTTAGGATATCACTCATGCGGCTCAGATATGGCCAAGGGGATTTTGGAGTTAGGAAAACGGTTCGAATGGCAACAGTTGCAAGATATATAAGGAGCGATATCGCTATATAAAGTCCGATGGTGAATTTCTTAGTTGGTGATGGCTCAACAAGTAACCCAACAGCATTCAGTACAATTAAAAGCTATAGCAATTCAAGTTAGCCGAGAGGAAGATTTGCAGTAACGGTAATGTATCTCATGAACGTACCCAGATCAAAAGTAGAAGCCATGACTCAAGGGTGCGTAAACGATCGTTCCCAAGAGTTGAAGAGATAGACGCCCCCAATGACACAAGGAGACCAATAACGGAAAAACATGTTATTGATACACAGTAAACCTTCTGTGAAAAGTTTTGCACGGACGTTTCCGTAGCACTTCCATCATTATCCCGGTATAGATCTCGAAGAGTAATATATCCACCTCGTTTTAGAATGGAGAATCGTGATAGGATTGCACGTAGGCCAGAAATGCTGCAAAGAACAACAAGAAAAAGCCCAGAAGCTCCGACAACAAGAGCAGAACTCTGTTGATCGATCATGGTGATCAATATATTGTCGGAAATGAAATCAGCTTCTCTTTAGCCACCCTGGGATTTCCTTCTTTCCAGGTCAATTCACAGACCTTCGATATCGACTTCTCTCCTCTCTCTCTTGGCCAAATGTTGTTGTCAAACACTTTTATATCGACAAAATTGAAGAGAAAACTCTGATGGAGCGCCCGAATAGGACTGACAATACCGCGGGAGGTGGATATAAATTTAAACTGAATCTGCAGTGGCGGCCAGTTCTTAGAGCAATCTGTGGAGAAGACAGTGCGAAGAGTGGAGCTTAACCTACACGCAGCCTCACAAGGTGGCGGTGGGGTTTAAAATTATTAATCAGTGCTGCATAGTGCGGGGATGGAGAAACCAAGAGTGAGTCAATATGAGCAGTTGATATGAATGACACCGTGATATTTGTCGAAAGCAGAACAGAATCACTATTTGTTAACAATAAGACTGGGGAACGGCAATTCGGTAACTATCCAACATAGAAAAATAAACCGAGTGACTAGTTCTTTTTTATAATGGGCCATGGACTTGGAAAAGTTTGTGGGTGTTGACAGCCTAGTGCTTCCATTATGAACAGCTCCCTGCATTGGGTCCCTTGAGATCCCCGTGCTGTTCCTTCACAGCCAAAGATCCAAGGCTGTGAGACGGAGGGGCCGTCGTGATACCAGCGACAAGGCTGGCCAGTGACCGGTCACTATTCGCTGACGCTTGCACGAACAAATTGGATTTTGCAGCAGAAGCATCAAATACCACCTTCTTCTACTTCGGGCAAAGAGATCTGGGTTTCCTCGTTGGAGTTCAACCGTGCGCGTCGTAGAAATCATGAAATGCACAGAGTAAGAATTAGCCTGTGAGTCTGTGACCACACCGCTTCGAAGTTTGCGGGTAATCTTGATCAAGTGCCTCCACACTAGCGGGATTAGGTCCCGGCGATGGCTACCGCCATAAACCCACTTAACGGAGAGTTTGAACCCAGGTCTGACTCACTGAATTTAGTATTTTCCTCAGAGAATCACTGCGGATGATGTCCAGGAGTAACGGGATTGGCCTCGTCTTCGCATATTGAAGATATGAAGAGGCACGCACTGTATTAATGCATCTATCTATCTTTCACTTTCTTTCGAACTTTTGAGGACTTTCAACATTGATCCCGGGCCAAACATTAGGCATAGCTGGTGGTGACTAATTGACGATGGGTCGTATTTAGGAATCCGATGACAGCCACGAACCAACTCAAAGGATTGGTTAGAACGTGGAGCACGCTTTACCCAGGAGAGTCCCCGACATTCTGTTGCCAAACCAAACAATCCTAACGGATTTGGGGAAATCCATGTAGTTGCACAGGAATTGGAGCAACAAAATTTTCAACCAATATCTTCTCGAGAGGTTTATTCAGCAGCTGACGAGATGAGAATATAAGGATGGTGCAAGCTTTACGTCGTTGTATTGTTCGCATTTCCAAAATGTAATTGTGTCTGAGTTAATATTATGATTAGTTGAGAGCCATCTTCTCAGAGAACATGAGGGATGGGCTTGTTGTGCCTTGGGCAGTTCTTTGCGAATAACATTGCTACTAGTTGAGGACGTATCAGCTTCGACCGTATTTGCGAGGATTAGTACCGTGATCGCGACCAACAACCTTGGGACAGTTCAACTTTCCCCTCCATGGTCTGAATGAGATATCTCAAAGCCGGCATCCCGTCCGCTTTCTCCTTAAACGGGGGTTGACGGATTTCCCAGGTCGATACGATGTTGAAAAGATCTTGTCGTGGAAAGAAATATCTTCCAACACAAACAAAAGCAAGTCCATTCAAACTCAACATCTTGCCTCATTATTTGTTCCATGGTATTCACACACCACACAATCGTTTGAATCAAGGATTGGCCTGCACCAACCAATTGACAGCGTTCAAATGTCCTTCATTGTGGGGAGTCACGTGGTGATGCGGCCGCCACCAACAACAGCAACAGCAACAGCAGCAGCAGCAACAGCAACAGCAACACCACATCAGAGGGTCCAAGATCCTCCGATCCTCCCCTCCATGGGCCATGTCGTCACATCCGAGTTGATTGACGATATCAATCCGCTTATTATTCATTTGATGAACGTCAGGTTTAATGTGAAACAACTTTCCAGAGTTGAGAGATACCTATCTAGATGGCTCTGGCGGCTCTCCGGTTCCGCATCGCCCCAACAAGAGCTGATGCTGAGAAGAAGCTTCTAGCCTAGCTCTAAGCTCCGTTTTGTGGAACAATTTTGCGAAGTTCCACCAGAGCCCGAATGCCCGACCACGTCCCCGATCATGTGCGTATATATATATTGATTGTCAAATATGACAATCCCATTCCAAAAACAAACCACATAGTCTTTTCTAATCTTAATTGTTAACTAATAGAGAAAGGGAGACGATATGTTCACACCAGTCGAAACAGCTCTTGGAGCTCTCCTCTTGCATCAAGGATCTTCAGGATTGCTCCAGCACAATGGCAGGGTGTTAGGTATCTCATCCCTACTCTCAGGGTCAGTTGCCAAACCAAGCCGTGACAACCTGCCTATCATTGGGGGCATAGTATCCAGCATCTTGCCAGTATATTACCTTTCACCTTCCCTGCTCCCGGCATATCCCCCACTAAAGGATACATGGGAAGCTGCTTTGGCTACGCTCGCAGTGGGTTTCGCAGTAGGATGGGGTACAAAGGTCAGTAATTCATATTGATTTGTGTGACACCGTCCTTCCATTGCCTTTTAGAAAGGTCATATATATCTATATATGGCTTGAATTAACAGAGATCAGGGTGGGATAAAACAATGCTAAATACCTGACAAAACGTTATAGAATGAAAATGGTTGCACATCCGGCCATATGCTCTGTGGTCTATCTCGACTCTCTCCCCGCTCCACAATCGCAACCGGCATATTCTTCATCACGGCGCTGATCACTGCCAACCTTCGAAACGTCATTCCTGCCTGCGCCTCTAACCAGCCTTGTTATTTCCCCACCTACCCAACCTCCCAGGAGCTCACTTTCATAGTTGGAGCAGTCGTGCTTGGCCAGTTCACAAACTCCGTCCTGGTCCCACACCTGCTTCGCAATTCTAAAAACTCCACCACAATATACAATTTCATCGCGGGTTTACAATTCGGTCTCGGCCTCCTCATCTCTGGCCTGGCCAATCCCGCAAAGGTGCTCGGGTTCTTCAGCGTGTTTGACTGGTCCAGATTTGATCCGTCTCTGGGACTGGTCATACCATTCGCCGTGGGACCCAACTTGATCGCATACTCGAGAATGAGACGGGAATGCGGAAACGAAAAAGGCAAGAAACCACCGACGTTGGCGGAGAGGTTTCAGCTCCCCACTGCTACCGTTGCCGACATCGACTGGCGTTTTGTGGCAGGTGGAATTGCCTTTGGTATCGGGTGGGGTTTATGTGGTGTTTGCCCAGGTCCCGGTTTGCTCAGGACGATTCTACAGCCTAAATGGGGCTTGTTTTGGATGGGGGGTTATATGTTGGGAAGTCTTTTGGGTCTATAAAATACTCTCTCTTCTTCCCCAATTTCGGATTGAATTGTTTCAACAATGAATATCATGATAAGTGGAAATTTGATAGGGTATCTGTGCAATGATTTATCCTATTTTGCATGAATCTCGCTGGTATATTTGCATGAGAACCGTGGAACACAGGTTTCCAAGGGCCGTCTATAAACTCTCCCCAAATAACTTAATAAAATTGTATAGGGTTGATCTAACACATTGCAGACCAACGCTGTGACGGGGGTATCATCTCACTAGGGTATAAAAAATCATTTGCAAGATGTACGCCGAGGCTCACATCCTAAGAAGGAACTATTAGCTCAATTCTTCTGACAAAATCAAACATTCCGACAAGTAAATTTAAAATTGAATGTAGAAAGAACACAGAATAGTTGAGACAACATCTAAACTTATTTACTGTAGGAATATGTATGTGTCCAGAAGAACAGATATCCAACAAAATACCCAGAGAAACATCTGTTAAGTGAAGGAAAAAAGTATTGCAAATATTCAACATAGGAACCCCTTATAACTCCGTTTTTTTCCTTTTATTTCCTAGTACTGACCCTTTGTGTTTTAGAAATACCTCCTCCAATTCTAGCCACTCAGCTAAGAACGCTGTGAGCAGTGTGCTCCAATCTTCAACGGTATCTAGGTCTAGATGTTGCGCGTCGTCTGTAATTTTGTGCCACACCCTCGGGAAGGGATAGGCAATCAAATGCAAGACCTCAACTCCGCGATTCATGAAAGGCACGTGGTCGTCCCCAAGCCCACTGGGGAAGAATTTATTCTTCTTGAGATCGACAAACCATAGTCTATCACCTTGCTTCCATTTCGGTGCTGACCTGAACAGGCCGAGTTCGCGCAGGCGGAGTTCGAGCTTAGCCATATTTTTATACGCCCAATGAGTTGTTGTGAAAAAGGACGGCATTGTAGGGTCTTTCTCGCCTAGTAAATCGAGAAGGACAAAGAGCGAGATGGCAGAGATTGGTGACCTGTAGGTAGATGTGGCTGGATAAAAGGTATCTTCCATGGCCTGGGCCAATGATCGAGAGCCGTACAAGGAGTCCGTGTCAGTCCAGTGAACGAATGCCTCTTCTCCATCCAAAAACATTACTTGGATGCCTTGAGGGTCAAGAAATGAGTCGTCAGATGGATTGGACTTCATGGCGTCCCACTTTGCAGTCAGAGCGGCATCAATACTTCGCACAGCGTGCATGATGATCGCGCAAGGAGCGGCACTGTCTGTAGCGCCAATAAACCCAGTTGGTTGCAGTTTGCTATCATAGTGTGCCGCCAAGGTCAATCGGCTTGTATCTCCGGCATCTGCCCATGGTGGGTCTCGAGATGCAATGAGGTTGACGAAAGGGATGTTCTTGTTTCCAGTTGCCGGTGTTTTTGATGTCGAATTCTGGAATTCTATTTTCCAATCAGGTAGAGTGGTCCTGAAAAAGTCGACGAAGTGTTGGAGAACCGCCAGAGAACCGGGTGTACCAGGAACTCGAGTGCGAAGGATGGGCGAGAGAAGGGCACCATTATAGATATCGAAATCATTGTTCGGCCTAGGAAGTGACCTTAACGTGTCATCAGATACGTCCACATACGACTGAGCGGGAATGATGAAGACTGGTCCAAGCAGGAGAAATAGCCAAGAAACGACCAGACGGGGGAAACTATCTCCCATTGTAGACAGATCTCATAAGGCCCATAACAAAGCCGTCTTCATTGTCTATACGAGGGGAGCAATGGGAGGTAAGACGATTGGCTCTGGTGCTCTGCTTATACTGGGTGTCGTTGTTTTTGTGAAGAGTCCTGAAATTTGATTTGATGTTGGAATGACCGCCGCGGCAAATTAGACGCCACAAACCTTGAAACTGCCGGCGCAGTCGCACTAAAAAGTATACACTGCACCTGAAAATGAAACGGAGCGCGTTTAATTTCTTCTCTTGGCCATTCAAAGTCCTCTCGTTCAATGAAGTGCGGACTCCAACCATTTTGAAGGAGAGTAGCCACAACAGCAAATCTGTGCCGAATCTCTCAGATATGTAAATCCTTAGAAAAATTACTTAGCTTTTTGGCAATTGTACGGAACTTACTGCCCATGCGACACATCAATTGCTGTCCACATCCTTTTCAAAGAAATGAGCAGACTTCCTTGCCGTCTTACCCTCCACCGATGCCCTGGCATTCAAGCTCCCAAGGGGTATTTATATAGCAAGCTATGCATACGTTTGAATTCATCCGTTAGAGGGGGTGATTCTAGAACCTCATTAAAGGGCAGTGTCAAACCCTCACGGCAAATCTTGCGGGAACCAGTCCGTACTGCGCCGAGTAAATCATCGAAGCACGGTTCGTCATCTCCAGACTAGCTCAAAGCCGTCGTGCACATCTTACTAACTTTATATGTGTTTGCAGAGGGCATAAAACTTGAGAAAGTCCTCATTTACCATGCGGGCTCGGGAAAGATAGCTTTCATTGGCGTGATGCGCATTACCACAATCCTAATATTTAGTGTTTCTTGTTTGGTTGTCGCTCCAGCGTTTTATTATTCCGAGGATTTGCCGTGGTATATAGTTCCAGCTAGTAAGTCTCCCAGAACATATGGGTATTTGTGTGGCGCATACTAACAGGCTTAGTTGTCGTTGGTGGTTCTATTCCCATGCTCTTCGTCTTATACACCACAGCTCCTTTTGTCAATTTCATATATCTCTCTATTCCCCGTGCCGCTCAGCGTACACGACAGCGTGCACAGTCATATTTGAAGGATGTGCCTCGTAATGCGGTGCTCAATATTGAAACCATGAAGTTTAATTTCTACTTTCGAAAGACTCAGGTGGTCCTTTCGGACCTGATACTGGGCAGGTCAATGTTCCGGCCTGTGAATTTAATCAATACGAATCCAATGCCCCAGCCATGGTGGAAGGGGAATAATGTTTTCTTTTATGCCCCAGCTAAGACGAGATTCAGTGCGAAACCAACGTCAAAATACTTCCCGGAAGTATGGGAGGAGGTATTCGCGAAAATCAAGAAGAATGCTGTCAAGGGTCAACATTGATCATAGATCTCATCCCCTTTTTATTTCCCCTGTATCTCTAGATTTTGGAATATCAAAGAATGTTACTTTCATGCTGTTACCAGGCTCAAACCTTTCACTTCACACTCTACATCAGCTACAGAAACCCTCAGAATCCCCGGTCTTCTTCTGCCACCTCTGCTAAGAGAAAAAAAATCATTTGCTCACTGCTCTCTACATAGCCTGCATAACCAGTCTCAATCTCATTGCTTATTCAACAAGCTTCACCTGGTGTTGCTTGTGTTATTGTTTACTTTCTCACCCTTATATCCTCACCTCTCTATCTCCTCTCAGGCTTGTTCCTTTTTGTTTTCCTATCACTCAGTCAACAGTCAATATACCCCCTTTTCTATCCTCTCTGTTATTTGATCTTTATCAACCCACTGTGAAGCTGCTCGTTTTCGCAAACTTCCACTAGCAATTAACAGCAATGATGGAGAACTTGAATACTGGCCTTAGTCCAGGCGAGCTACGCATCTTTATGATTGCAATGACCTGTGCTGTGGATGGCTTAAACAATGTCAAGGTATTTACCTCGTTTCCCAGTGACACTAACATTTAATGTGGACTTGCTTGATATCACTCGCTTTCACCAATAATATTTATTCCTCTCGATCCTACTGCTGCACACTCGTCTATCCAATTTTACCATGCGTTAACCAAATATACTTTGAACACACAGATCGACTTCGACCTGCTTGCTGATAAAGCCGGGCTGAAGAATGCTAGCAGCGCGAATGTCCTTTACGGGAACGCTAGGCGCAAGCTCTTGGCCGCCCCCAGAATTGTCGCTGCTCAGGCTTCCACTGGTTCCACCGGCAGCGGTTCCAATCCCACCACCCCTAAAACAAAGGAAGGCAGGGTTGCCAAACATACTCCGAAATCGTCGACTCATGGCAAAGGCAAGACCGCCAAAGCAATTGCCGCAGCCGCCCTTGAGGCGTATCCCTCTCCAAGTAAAACCAAAGTCAAAGGCGAGTCCGAAGCTGATTCAGCCATGGCTGCCATAATGGACGACGATAAAGAGGTCAAACTCGAGTAAGTGCCTTTCCTACAAGCCCCACTTCATACATGAAGCATAGACTAATTTCTAAATCCTCTCACAGGAACACCAATGTCGCTTTGGCGGACAATGCGGATGAGGTTGCCCATGATGTCGCTACTGAGATGATCAAAGGCACGTCTTATCCCCGCTCCGAACTTGAGTGGTCCTTTTTTGAGCAATCAATGTGGCATGTCGGTACTTACGACTAGGAAAAATGAAGGTTGGGATTAAACGATCACTCGAACGGCCGCGGCATATGAACCTATCTTTCCTCTGCACGAAAATAACGAAGCGATTTCCCCTGGATACGAATCGAACAGGAGCTCAATGTGATTTACGTCAGTGAAAATACAATTGACCGACACTCATCGACGAAATTTGTTTCCTGGAATTTCTGCTTGCGTCTGATCCAAATTCCCTCTTTTCAAGACATCACGACCGCCTTTTACGCTCCGACGAAGTCATTTTCTTGTTTAGGAGGAGATTCTAGTTAGTGGATTTGTTTGCTTTTTCGCACATTTACTCTGGTTTCAATTATTGTTCTGGAAATGTCTATCCAAACAAGTCAAGTGATTCGACCCACTGCGCAGTTGCAGAAGAGTGGCAGTTAGGACCCATGGTTTTTCTTTTTGACTCATTCTTCATGAGTCACTAGCGTGAGAGAGATGAGTTGCGAGATGAAAAAAAGGAGAAATTATTTTGTTGCTTCACTCTCTCCTAATGCAACAGCTACCATGGTAAATTTAATAGGGGTGTTTTGCTTAACAGACTTTGGGAACTCCCTCCTCAAGCGCCCCCCCTTGAAACTGCTCCATTTCCCCATATATTTCTGCCTACGCCGCGATTACGTCAGTGCTGCTCCCGTTTCATTGCCCAGGCCACATTTCTTCCCGCTTTCATTCGGTGCTATCTTCATATCTCACCCACCCATGTCCCGCCCCCTGATGTATTGACTAACGATTGACAGCCTGCAGCTCTTAGCGCATGACGTGAGCCACAATTAGATTGACGACATTCGTGCCCCCACCACGACACCTGCCGGTGGTATATATCTGTTCCATAAGTTATCAGTCACCTAATAATCTCCATGTGAGGGAACCGGATGTTGTAGGATTATAACTGTTGATTTGTATCCCAAACGAGAAAGAAAGTGAGGAGGTTAACCAAGATCCAGTCCACCCCCCCAAAATATACGACAGTCCTTTGGACGTATAGTAAATTGTCATTTCCAACACAACAACACATCCTTAGGTGCACCATGTCAGAAAGATTGCCTCTTGCATCAATACAGGAAACTACCTGTCATGCAGCATTTCCAGAACCCAGAACTACTGCAGCGAGAATTTCACGTTCAGAAGTTCTGAGCTTGCTTAAGGATGAGACGAGGAAAGGGGCCGAGTCGGATTACGTCCTGGTGGATTTGAGAAGGGCGGATCATGAGGTAAGTGTGTTGTGATCTTTTTATTTCACTTTTCTCCTAACAAGGGAATGGAGTCAATTTTTGTTTAATGTGGGGAGGAGGATGCGCTGGGGTATGGCTCCCCAAAGTCCGGGCTATACGTATCATGAAAAGGATGTAGGGCTCTGGAGGGTTATGCAGAATGACCAAATGAGAAACCAAATATGATAAAAAAGAAGGGAGATGGACGACATGCCAGACATTAAATATATTCAAACCAAGAAATCAAAACGATCTAACCGTTAAACTTATCACATGCAGGGTGGCACAATATCAACTTCCATAAACTTGCCCGCCCAAAGCCTCTCCCCTTCTATTCCCGTTCTCTATACCATTTTTAAAAATGCCGGCACCAAGAAGGTCATATGGTATTGTGGTGCGTATATATGCTTACCGATGTTCATGTTCCACCCCTTCCGCATTTATCATTCTTAGAAACCATTGAATTCCCACAGTACTAACCGTTGATGAAACCAGGCTCATCTGCCGGACGGGGAACACGCGCAGGAGGCTTGTTTGCGGACTACATTACGGAGAAGGAAGGCGAGGGGCCCCAGAGGATTCAGAGTTTGGTCCTGGAGGGGGGGATTAAGGGTTGGGTGGGCGCCGGGCCAGAATACGTGGAGAGAGTGGACGGATATGAGGCGTCCGTCTGGAATAGTACTGAGTGACCTAAGCGATCAGCAGGGAAATGTTTCGAGTAGCTAATAGGATGAAAGCTATGTTCAGGCTAAAATATGTCTAATATGAGATAGTTATATTGTGTCTACCTTTCTATGGAATAAATTTGATACGCATATACTTGAGGCACTAACATGATAAACATACAATATGATAGTAGCAAGATTCTCAATAACACGGCCCAAGCCGAGTGAAGCATGCATATATCAGAGATAAGGATAGAAATAATTCTCGAACATTGAAAGGGGGAGTAGCATATACAACCAAGACGCCGGAGCCACAAAGCAAGAATAGACGATGATAAAGCTACCCCCTCTAGACGGCAGAATAATGGGCAAAACTATAAGAGCAAGTGCTTGGAATACCCAGAGCACACGCTCAAAATGAAATATATATATATATAAAAGGTAAAGAATGTGAAGTTAGGACCAGGATTTCCCTACAAACTCTCAATGGCCTTGAGTAGAACATCCATTCCCTTTTCAGTAACACCGCCACGCCCAACTTCATTCGAAGCACCCCTATCATTCAGCACCCAGGCAACATCGCTCCACCATCCCAAGCCAACAAGGCCACCACCTTTTCTTCGTTCAAGGCTCTCTTTCAACCGGCTTGTATGCTCCCACTGTTTTGCAGCAATCTCTGCCCGTTCAACCACCTTGTTCGGAATACCACACATTGAAGCGCAGTGCATGCCGAAACTTCCTTCCGCAACACCCTCTTCCAGTTTGTATAAGAACGTTACACGTCGTTCTTCTTCGTCAACATGTATACGCATACGTCGTGGGGCAATTTCGGGATGTCCCTCGAATTCAGCAGCGAGGGAGTGGTAATGCGTTGCGAAGAAGCCCAAGGCTCCGATGTGGGTTGCAACATGGTGCAGCACAGCTTGGGCCACTGCAACGCCATCATACGAACTTGTCCCCCGTCCCAACTCGTCTAGAATAACCAGAGAGCGAGGGGTAGCTTCAGACAAGATCTTCTTGGTCTCAGAGAGTTCAACGAAGAAAGTGGATTGTGCTGCGAAGATGTTGTCGTTGGCACCGAGACGAGACATGATTCGATCGACAGGCGTCAGACGCGCAGATTGGCAGGGAACGTGACAACCGATTTGTGCCATGATTACAGCAGTGCAAGTCTGCGGAATGTAGATTCAGTATCCTTAACTTCGCGAAATACAAAAGGGATGGTATCAGGGGAAGGGAATACTAACCATGCGCAATATGGTGGACTTGCCCGCAGCATTAGCGCCCGTAAGCAAGTTGATATTGGGAGCTTCGCCCCCCAGTTTCACGTCATTGGGAATAAAGTCGCCCACGTTTGGCAACATACATGGATGTCGAAGTTCTTGGAACTCAAGAATACTGCGTTCCTCATCCACGAAGACAGGGCGACAACTTGGGTATCCCAGAGCCGAGGTAGCTTTTGCTAAACTGATCAGACAATCGAGTTGTGCAACCACTTTAACAGCTGCTAACCAGGTTGAATAATTCTCGTCGAATCGGGCGTAGAATCGGCCCGCTACCTCCTTGACAATTTGGCTATGAGTTTCTTGTGCTTCTTGAAGCTGGCGGATAAGACTGCGTAGCTCGGGGAAGTAGAAACGTTTTGCCTGCTTCGTGGCTGACATTTGATCCCAGCTCTTCGGCACGCTTTTAATTTTAATCGGCACTTCAAGCTGATAGATCTCCTTCCCGTTGTCCCGGTAAACGATAGCAGTAGAGCCCAATTGCTTCCTGACTCTTTTAAGCAGTTGGTCCAACTCATATTCTATTTCCGTGATCTTGTCATGAGAAACATCAAAATCTTCCTCGACCCCAGCTTCCGGAACCAGAATACCAGAATCCTTGGCCTTGGAACGATCGAACGCCGTTTTCCAGTACTTCAAATGACCACTCAGGTCGGGCATTGAGGAGACGAGTTGCCCAATAACTCCCTCTCCAGAGCCAGTTTCTTTTAGCAGACCCATTGTGTAATCGATCTGCTCAAATCCTTCAAGCACACGGAGGAAATCCTGAGCTTTGCAGCTTCCAGCATGAACACGAGAAATAAGTCTCTCAAGGTCAGGCATTTTTGTTAGCTGAGAAGAAAATTGGTTACGGATAGCGTTGTCTGCGTTTAAGGCATCAACAGCATCGAGGCGTGCATTGATTTTCTTAGTATCCACTAAGGGGTGACAGACCCATTGCTTAAACATTCTTTTGCCGAATGGTGTTACGCACCGGTTGAGCAGTTGGAAGAGGGTGCCCTCCTGGCCCCCATCGAACGAGTTGGCGAACACCTCAAGGTTGATAAGGGTTTGGCCATCAAGCACGAGACTGGTGGCCTTTCTGATCGGATCGTACCACGTGAAGTTTCCAATTGTGATCAAATCTCGTTCGATTTTAAGCATCCTCAAGTACTGTACTAGCGCTCCAAATGCTGACATGGCAAATTCCTTGTCCCTTGCCTCTCGTAGGACTTGTGGCCAGGCCAAGAGGTTATCCCCATCTGGTGAGACAAAATAATTACTGGCATCGAGCTCCCGCACAGTAATATCTGCTTCCCAGAACTCTTTTCCAGGTTTCAAATAGTTCCAGAGGGTGGTGGGGATAGTGTTATTTTTTAGAATCCGCAAAGCTTTGGTGGACATGGCAGACTTCTCGAGAAGTAACTCCTGTGGGCGCGTTTGGGCAACGAAGGTCTCAAATTTGGTCATATCAACATCATCGATAAATTCTGCCAAATAGAACTGGCCTGTCGCAGTGTCGACGAAAGCGATTCCAAATACTGGTAGGTCATTGACTAGTGCTTCCTTAATGGCCACACAATACGTTGACATGTCATCTTGAAGCATTCCCCCATCCACAAGAGTGCCAGAAGTAAGAACACATGCCAATTCACGCCTGATGATTTTTTCTTGTTTCCCAACGCTGCCACCCGTCTTACCCTGTTTCTCTCGCATTTCCTTACCCAGAGCAGATTCGCTTTGATCCACCCTCGCGATCTTGAAACCTTTAGCCACAAACTGATTCGCCCAATGGTCTAAGCTCATTTCCGGGACGCCAACCATGCGCATGTTCACACGATCTGTAAGTTTGAGGTCGAAGAGTTGATGACCGATAGTAGCGTCATTTTCGTAGAGTTCGTAAAATTTGCCCTTCTTGAAAAAGACGACCGTATCCCAAAATTTCTGTTTAATTTCCCAGTATTGTTTCTCAAACGGCGAGAATTTAGTCCATGCTAGAGGAGGAATATAAATGGTCCGCGGATCGTAGTCAGGGTGTCCAGGGGGGTTTCGGTCAATATCCGTAATATTAGCAAGCCACGGGTAACGGTGCTCCGGTTCACTCATATGGGCCTTCGCTTTTTTATTCTCCCCTTGAACTGTGGTTTTAGTGAGAGCAGGTCGCTGCTTTGGTGGTTCTGTATCATTAGGATCATAAGTCCATTTCAGAGCAGAGCTAGTAGATGCATCTGGAAGCTCAAGATCACGTCCCTCATTTTGAACGGGAGGCGATCTCGAAGGCGATACTTTGATAGAAGCCCTGGAGGGCCGCTTGCGTTTTTTGGATGGCTTCACCTCATCCTCAGAATCATCTGGGACAATGAAGTCATCTAGGTCTACATGGACACAGTATTAGTAGTGAAGAATCATGCCGAGAAAACCAAATTATGTATGCTAACCGTCATCAGAAAACCCATCGTTATCATTGAATTCATCTTCATCAGCCGAAGAAGCAACGGTTTTCCTCCTTTTCGCGGTCCCCCCTGCGCCGAATTTTCTTCTCGCTGGGATGACATCCTCGTCATCTGACTCTAGATAGCTTTTGACAGCTTTTTTCGCCTAGAATTCAACAACAACGTGAGCAGGCATTCCACCAGACCTAAGACATTGTTCCCATATAATAGAACTGGTGAAACACGTAGTCTTCTTACCCGTCGTGCAGGTGTGACCGAGCTTCGATCAGGCACTCCATTCTCAACCAGGACGCCAGCGACTTCGTTTGTGGTTGCAGTGGAGGACGGGAAACAGCCGCTATCAACAGAACTCGCATCAATTTCCTTCACCTCCCCACTCCCCTCCACCACTGCAGAATCATCCATCTTGAAATCATCCTCATCATACCCCACATCATCACTACTTGGAACAGGGGTATGATTCTGTCCACTGCCAGCAACATTTTTATCCTCTCCGATCTTCAAGGATTTCGAAATGGCAGTCCCGAAATTCGATCTCGAATTGATGTGATTTTTTTGCCCTGAAGCTGCTCTCCGGGAAGGGGAAGACACAAGATCCTGGGTAGCATCATTACGGTGAGCAGGGGACGCGGCCACCGTTACCGGTGAGGATTTCTGGAAGAAACCCAAGATAGACCTTTGGCTCTTCATATTTTGGGTGCTTGAGGTCGACTTATTTAGGACACGCGCATTTGGTGTCTTCTGCGAGTTGGTATTTTCCACCATATCTCGTACGTGAGGAGAGGATAAAATGACTGCTCTGAGAGTGCTTTAAAGACGAGACGGGTTCTAGTTCTGAATCAATTGGAAGGCTGTATATGATATTGTATACTCATATGGTAAAATATCTAGTATCGGCGTCAATAATAGTCAATAGAGAAAAGGGGCGAACTTTTGAAGGGGAGTTGGGGAAGAATACGGAGTAATTCCTCCTGAGATGGAGGTTCATGTCCGAAAGGGAGACGTGACAAAGTTGCCATTAGCGTGTCCGACGCGTTAATGAGGTATGTCACGTGACAATGAAGGCAACTGCGGATTTCCATTCATCCATTGGATAGGAAGATAAATAAATACCCCCTATACTACAAGTACGAAAACTTAGGCTTGAGGGTCTATCTGGCAGCGTCCTAGCGCTTCTATCCTGCGCATTTTGAATGAGATGTCCAGCCCTGAGATCATTAATGTGAGTAGCCCGATTTTCCTGGGTTTCATGTGCTGATGTTAGTTATAGTAGAGTAACCGAGTGCGATCTTTACGGACTCGGATACCACGACTTGTTGACCCGGTTCCTGCAGAATGTGCGCTGATTGACACACTAAATCGTTGGGCTTTGCAATCCACTGAAGGCGTACGGTCATCCTGCGTTCCGCGTCATCAAACTCTGGGACCTCTTTGCTCGAATCCGCTTCCTGCGCTCTAGTCTAGGCAAAGGTCCACTCACAGCAAGTCACCTCTCTTCTAGTACTGTAGGCTGTTTTCCGGGGCTACTGCCTCATTGTCTAGCTCTACGAAGAAGGGGAAAGCAAACAACACACAGAAGAACAAACGAAAGGGGCCAAAGAATTTAAGAGCAAAATCTTTCACGCCCGTTAGAAGAAATATTGCCTGCCGGCGTACCCCAATACTGTAATCTCCCACAAGCGCATGTAGTTACTTGATATGGAATAAACATCTCTGTTAAGCAGCCTTCCTTGTCTGCTGAGTGCCACATCTCGCCCAAATTCGGTGGAGGGTGATGAACCTTCCTGCGTCTTACGGCCATCACAATTCCGGGCAACACCTTCGAGTCACCCGGCCTGGGATCAGCAATACCTAAGCAGCAGTAAACTACAAGAGTAATTATACCGCGACTATCTCACAACCAGCAGACCAGGGGTGCTTTTGAGGATCCAAATTCTCCATTCTCCCGATGAGATCCTTGAACTCACCGACATGTGTCATGAGCCTGTTCAAAACTTGATCCCCAAAAAACGAAACTTGACATTACAAGCGAATGACGTGAGGGTATGCACCCTGTGATTCGTGTCTGTGCAAATCCTCATCGGCTCCGAAGATGACTTGTTTGAGCATATCATAGATGCACTAAGTAGGTTAGCTTGGTAGAGCCTTCTCTCGAGGAGGGAAAAATATCACGGCTGCGAAGGAGAAGATGTCAGAAGGCTTGTTAAGCTCGCCCTTGAAGCGGCCCTCCGGACTGCGCCAGCTATCATTGCCAGCTAACATTCCTTTAATGCACCTCCCTTTAGGGAGATAAGCTGCGTTTTCAAGATCGATGATTTGAGCCTCCTCAACAATCACCTCCGGACCAGCACCGCGGTAGTTGATCATGATATTGTCAGGTTTGATATCTGGAAGCAATTAGGTTTAGGTTATGGAACTGAAGAGTGCGTCCTTCACCCAAATGAACAATGTCATGGCTGTGCAGCTCAGCAATCCCGCGCAGACTAGCTTTTAGGATCTGCTTCCTGGCTTGTATTGATATTTACTTTCTAACAAGGCTCAGAAAGTCATCTATCTTTCATGTTCTCGTACACAAGTATCCACTGATTTGGAATGATGTCATGTGGTAAGCGTAGAAATGGGCTTTCACAAAGCCGCGGTCGTATGTTCTCATTGAAGCTTGGAGAAATAGCCTAGGGAGTGTCCTTCAAGATGAATTTGCCTTGTCCGGATCGTAGCGAGACGCTGGCGATTATTGGCCCGGATTTAACTATTCATGCGCTAGCCGACTTAGGTATGCAAGAGGGATGGATGGGATGGATCAAAGATTCAGGATGTAGATGAGTCGATCTCGCTAAAAGGATTGATTATAGCTAAAATTGGTTGGTTATAGGCAACGCTAAACTAACTATGTAACTACAAGTGCGAGTTCAACCTACAGCCATGAATTTCATAACTCTAGGTCTGTGTAGTTACAGTGTCCAACTCTTCTCTAGCTAAGGACCGCAGACCATCCACTTCGTGTCACCATCATCACATTTTCTTGACGTCCTGCTTCTTGTCCCTCCCTGTCCCACGAATAATCTAAGTTACCCAGCACTGTCGTTTCCTCTCACTTATAGTAGTGCTTTGATGCAACGATCTTTTCATCCTTGTCGAGCTCGAAAGTAGTGAAATGCCTTGCAGAATCTCTTTGGCTCGGATGCTCCGCCTCCCTGGGAAAAGTGTGAGAGAAGAGATCAACGGCTATTGTGCATGACCCCCTTCATTGCCACTTTGACGGTTTCAGGCTTTAGAGTGTCTTTGTACTTTTCAGCAACTGTAGCGAACTCGTCTTGGGTGGTCTGGAAGAATCACCAGGGTGCAGGAATGTTGGCGCCATGGAGGAAAGGTCAGGCAAATCCTGGTACAATAAGGCATGAAAATGAGCGTCATCACCTACCGCCTTGCAATACCAGCCGCCGTCTACGCAGCAAGAAAGGGAAGATTGTAACCCTTCTCACTTTTTATTTCCTAAATAGTAGCACTGACTAAGGTGCTAGAATGATTGTCATGTGATGATGGTCCGCTCCAATGCACAGTCTTGTAGCAATGAACACAAATTTCCAATAGTGAATCAGTCCGCTAATTCATCAAAGTGTGGATTGTGAAGATAGGGAAACTTGGACATCACATCACATCGTCACATCACCCCTTTCTCTCCTGGTTGATTTTAGCACCCAGGAGGCTGAGGCTGAAGTCCCTTTACCAGTGAACATTCATCTTTGTCAACTCAGTATTTGCTGCTGGTTAAAAGAGAACATAGTGTGACTGAGAGTTCACCTTCACTAGAGAAGTTTGGATCATGTCCATGTCATGCATCGGCCACGCCGTGAGACTTGAATCATTGAGGAGATAATTTTCTTCATCTGGGCATGTCACCCTTGCAACCAAACAGATGTTCCAGATCTTGCGCTCTAGTTGGGGCCTGATGTGTAATGGTCTGCGGCACAGCAAGGCAGATATTGTTTCTAACATGTGGAGGCATTTTTTTTTTTTTCATTGGCGTACTATCTTAATGAGCGGAGATCACCAGTGTGCGCCACAGGTGAGAAACATTGGGTTTGCCGACCAATTGCAAAAGAGAGAGATTAAGGACAACAAGTACCAAGACACAGACAGGATGGGATTGGCAGCGTTGATAGAATAGGGGTGCAGAACCCAAAACATCAAATATAGGATGTAGAGCAATTGTTAGTCATGTATGCGACAAGAAAATGAGACCAACAGAGTGAACAGGAAACCTCAGCCAGCCACAGTTCTGAGCAGACGAAATATCTCAGTAGCAGGGCTCAGTCTGTGCATAAATGTTAGGGTAACTTGACAGTAGAGTGCGGCGAAATTGTATCAGGGAAGAAGGGAAGTGGAACATGGTCAGCATGTTGAGAACAGTTTCAGCTGCGGCACAGCTGGGCCAGGCGACACTACCAGTGGGGGCCAATGAGAAGGGGTGGAAACAGCACACATGAGACAAGAGAATTATGAGGAAAGGCAGGGAAAACAGGGATGATGGAGAGAAGATGTTCGAGCGGCGGGAGGAGGTTTATATAGTCTAGAAAGGGGCGATGTTGCGCTAAACCCGATCAGGATTGCGCTAAACCATAAGGCAATTCCCCATGATACGGTATAACTGGGTATAGAGTTAAATGCTGAGGCATACAAAGCTAGACAGTTTCGCCGCGATGAGCCAAAACAACAGCAACATTGCTATCACCAAGGCTCCTCTTCACTCTAAAAAGAAGAGAGTCTGCGCAATCTCCTCTGCTCTGCTAAAACCCCCAGATGACCCCCCCCAGCCCCAAAACACCATGTCCCAGGATGCATCAGACACTACAACAGCCACCACAGCTCAACTACATCAAATCAATATCAACTTCAATCCCCGCCCGGCCCTCTCACCAGGAGGAGAATTCATTGAGAATGTGACTGACTGCACTCAAGCAGTCCTGCTAACTGTGAAGAACTCCTCTTCCACAGTGAATTATAAGCTCAATGCTCTGCTGAGTCATGTCAACAACTTCTTCTTTGCAGAGCTAGCTGCAGTGCTTGAGCTATGCAATAAGCTATCTGCAGTACTGGACCTGATACTCTGCACTTATGAGAACTCTCTACCACACCAGACTGCTGTACTAAGGCAAGCCATGGGACACAGCATAGTCAAAGTCATTAAAGACCTCATCACTGAATCAAAGCCTATGTTGATGTATGCTACTGCTGCAACAGCTAAGGCAATCTTCTCAAACAATCCCCTTCAGACCATTTCAGCAATGGGACAATCTCACAAGAAGCAGGTACAGTGGGCCAATCACTCCCTGCATCAATGACAGAAAGACAAACAAGTTATGATTAGACTACCTGCAGCACACACTGCTTGTGACCTAGACCCCCAAGCTATTCATGAACAAGTACATGCCATGATCTCTGATCTGACCTGGATCACTGATGTATGGCACTGCTCATTGGAAATCATCATGACTGCCCCCTTCCCAGTGAAGACAGCCTTCATTCTTGAACATGCAGATAAGCTGAAAGCTGCTGTAGATGACTGTCTTATTGAGTGACAGAAATTCTGAATCATCTTTGTAGTCAGTTCAATCAAGAAGTTGACACACAGCTTTGAAGAACAGAATATCACTCTGATTCCAGTGTCAGAAGAGATGCTTCTTTCTGAGATTTGAGACATCATTCATCAGACTTCAATCACTCATTGTCACTGGACAAAGAAGTCCATGAACCTCAATCTGCATGAAGAGTACATCTGAATTGAAGTATGAACCTCTGAAGCACATCTCTTTTCAAACAAACTTCATCTTTTCAGTTGTCTGGTGATGGTTAACAAAATCAAGAAATCATCAAAGATTTCAATTTGCACAAGATGTCACAGCTTTCACACAGAAAGAAACTGTGTGTGATCTCTACATTGTGAGAAGTGCAGCAGTCCTGCACACTCAGATGAATGTCAAACATCAGCTCACTGCTGCAACTGTCTTGACTCTCATTTCACTCTCAGCACTGACTGTTCAGTGAGGCTCAAAATAGTCTCTGAATGTATAGAACACATCTCCCATCATCAGCTACACTCAATACACAAAGCTGACAGAAGAGCATTCATCTCAGCTCATCAAACTTCAGCAGAGAAGAGCAACTCAGAGCTAAACTCTAAAGACTTCATCTCATCTCCTCTCTCAGCTCTGCTGACACCAGTCACTAGCTCTCAAAGCAATCAGACAGACTCAATGATCTGCTCTCAAACAGACATTAAGATCACATCAAGTCTGAACCTTCACTAATGAAGAGCAGTCACAGCTCTTCTCACAAATCTACACTCACTGTATATCAAGTCAATGTAGAAAGACAGTCAAGCTTTCATGACATCACTCTCTCACTAGCAGATGAAAGAGTCTGCAACATTGTGATCATTTAGAAACTCTGAATAGCTATGAACCTCTTCATCTGCCTCTTCAAAAGTCATCTCTCATACAAACACTTCACCTCACTCTTCTTCAACTGGATCAAGAGGTCCAGAGTACTGCTCTATGTCAGAAATGAAAGAGCTCTTGCACCAACTCAATCTATAGCAGATATCTCAAGAAATGTTGTCTGTGTCTCAGTTAAGATCTCTAACTTCAAAAGAACTAATATCTACAACATATACAACACCTCATCTGATGCCATAGATGCAGGTCAAGGCCTTCAAGACCTTCTCTCTCTTACACACACCACAGAGACCATCCCCTGGATGGCATTAGAAGACTTTAATATTAGACACACAGCATGAAACTCTACAACTGATAGACATTCTCAAGCAGAAGAGAATCTGTATAACTGAGCAATCTCTCTTGAACTCCAGCTTCTCAACCCAGCTGAATTCTCTACACATAGACAAGAAGACACACTTGATTTTGTCTTCTGTGCTGCTAACTCAGCTATCTGTCATATTGCTTCTGAACTGCACTGCATCTCAGATCATGAAACTCTTATCACAACAGTTCAATTATCACAGACTCAGACTCAATTGATTAAGAAGAAGAAGCTTAGTTTTGCAATCTGTGATGCTGATCACTTCTTGCAACTACTCACTCTCTTCTTCTCACCAGTCTATGAGAACATGAATGAGGAAGCAGTGGACATCATGAAATCTCTTCAACTGGCTCTACAAGGCTCCTGCTCTCTCACCCCAGGACTCAAGAGTCATCATGCCCCATGGTGGACCCCAGCAGTCAAGATAGCCAGAAGAGTATATCATGCAGCATGTAGACACAGTCCTTGTCAATCAGAACAAGTGACATTCCAGACAGAAATTAGAAAAGCTAAGAGAGCATGGAATTGTCAGTGAATTGAGAAGGCTT